CATACTGATGTAGTACAATTCATACTGATGTAGTACAATTCATACTGATGTAGTACATACTGATGTAGTACAATTCATACTGATGTAGTACAATTCATACTGATGTAGCTTGTTTAGGTTTGCTATTTAGAAGTATTTACTGTTTGAATTCAAATGTGTTTTGTTTTGGTTAATTTTAAAGGCCTATAAATCCCCCCTCCCCCTCTTCATAGAACTAAAAATATAATGTGTAGATGAACATTTAGTCATTAGAAATGTTGTTTTTAACTTTAGGATGACAGACTGGAGAAATTTCTCGGCCTCTGTCGCCTGGCACAGGATCAGAAGCTTCCACCTCGTAAGAACGAGTCCCAGTTTGAGATGGAGCTGAAGTACAGTCTTGGAGAGATACACCTGGTGAAGGGAGAGAATCTAGTCCAGTTTCTACCCCTAATACTGGACAAACTCATACAGCTCCTGGTGCGGCCTCCTGTCATGTCTGGACAAGCCAGTAAGTAAACTTAACCATTGGTAAATCCTTGTGATTTTGTATCACTTTATTTTCATGTTTTTATAACTCCCCATTTTAGGTGGGTGAGAGGGTTGTGGTGTGGTGGGAATGGTGTTACCCAAGTGAATCCCATTCTAACTCGTTGTCATATATCTAGGGTGGTCGGGTGGAGCAGTGGATAGCGATAGCGCACTTGCCTTTCACCAAGGCGGCCGGGGTTCGATTCCCCGATCGGACCTGAAAAGGTATGGGACAACCTGCCCAACCACATGGGTTTTCTCAGGGTACTCAGGTTTCCTCCCACATTTAGACTCTCCGCACGCTAACATCAGGGCCAACAAGAGTGATAAATATAAGTTAAAATAACTTGTTTCATAATTATTGTAAAATAAATAAAATTTATATTATATTATATTCATTGTCATGTATCTGACATTTTAGGAATTTCATTTCTCAATGGGTTTTGATTGAACTTTATACAAAAGAGTTCATATTTCATGGTTCCAAGGTCAAGGACAAGGTCATCATTATGAACTATTTACAGAAATTTGTAAATCGGTAACATCACTCAAGTGACTTCATTTCACAACTGATCTTAATTGATTCAAAGTCGAGTATGAAAATGTCTCAGAAAAGTTTGTGTTTCAGTGTGCTATAAGGTAAAGATCACCACTAACTATTTATAGAAAACTGTCAAACAATGACATTGATCTGCAGGGGAGCAAGGGCATTCATGTGTTACAGACATCTTCTAGCTTTTTAACTATATATAAGGTTTTGTTTTGTATATATTTAAAAGTACTATGTTTGTTAATGAAATAATGGTTATGTAGTTAGATTTTGTCAAATTGATAACCTATTATAAGATGGTTTACTTAAAAGGCAAAAGTAGGATCTATGGGAAAAATTGAATGTATGTGCCCCCCATAATGTTCATACAGAAGTCCAGCTAAGTTTGAAGAAGGTTGAAACATCAGTAATGAGTGGTCTGTTGTGCTTTCAGTGACTATAGGACAGGCTGTGTTTGAGACCCTGGTGCAGATTGTGAAGAAGGTACATGAACTGTTGGAAGAAAAGAATGACCACAATGGTCGGAATTCCTTACTGGCCTCCTACGTACACTATTGTTCATCTCTCCCACACCCAGGCATGGTCCATCAAAGTAAGTAAATACTGGCCTCCTACGTACACTATTGTTCATCTCTCCCACACCCAGGCATGGTCCATCAAAGTAAGTAAATACTTGGATACATTCTCACACATTCTCCATAGGATTGATACTATGGATTAAAGTCAAGACTGCCTTGTAGAAGTTCAGGGATTTAATCAGGAGTAATGTATTTATTAGGCCAAGCAAAACATTTTTGTTTTTCCCCGAAACCTTGCCTACCCGAAGTTATAGTGCCTATACCTAACATTTTTAGTTAATTTTTCAAAGAAGCATAATTATGCATTATTAAAATCTAGATCGCTCTCCTACATAAACCACATACAATTTTATTTTTTTTATACGTGTCTACCTATATCTATCTGCCCAAATTGTTTCAATGTTACAGGAAACAAATCTATTTTTTGTTTAACCTTACAGTTAGGAGCATGTAAATAATGTGAATCAGAAGGCTTCCTTTGTACATAGTCTGTAGATCTCACCATCAGAAAAAAAATTCAATAGAAAGAAATGCTTACATTTCACATATGGAATATGAATTTGTGTTATAATTTCAGCAACCTTACCAAACCTGAATTCTTCATCTGGATATAACACTCTGGGGCGACCCTCATCACTGCCGGTGTCCAAGCAGCCGTACCAGAGGAGCAACAGTAACCCTGACTTGGCTGGCAGTACCCCTACTAGTCCTGATAACGAGGTCCAAGGCATCATTGGTACGACTTATCTTCAGTTCAGTTAAAAAAAAACATATTTTATAAGACAAAAACTAAGCTGTTGTGATAGAGATTAGTGTCCTGACCATAGTTTTGAAAATGTAATAAATATAGGATCTTACATGAGTTTCCATTTTATATGAGATTTATGAAATGAGTCTAAAAGAATTTTTCAATTGAGGCTTGCCTAAATGAAAAACTATGACGAGATTCATTAATTTTGTATGAAATGAAAAAGAGTATAAGATCCTTTTTATCACATAATCAAGATTTGTGGCATTTATTCATGTAAAATGACAATTTTCATGCATCTTTGAAATGTAAAAAGCAGCCATTTTGACTCCAATGCGTAAATCTGTGACGTCATGTACTTGTCCTAGCTATAGGCGTGATGTCACAATGGAAACAAATGAAAATTTCAACCAATCACAGGGCTGATAGGTCATATTACATGGGTTAATACTCAAAAAATATGACATGGGTATATTCACTGGATAACACAGTACATTATGTGATAATGTTATATACATGACTGTTTTGGTTACAGTAATATCAGCTTGGTCACTACACTTGGATCAAATAACCGCATATGATAATGATTTAGTGTTTCTATAGAACATTGTGTTGCCTGACCACAGGTGGTAGTGGGCGTTACCTAGACAGGACTGGCAGTATGAAAGGAAATGANAATACCGTCCACACAACTGACGTTAAAATCAATCAATATACTCCCCTGATAAATACCGTCCACACAACTGACGTTAAAATCAATCAATATACTCCCCTGATAAATACCGTCCACACAACTGACGTTAAAATCAATCAATATACTCCCCTGATAAATACCGTCCACACAACTGACGTTAAAATCAATCAATATACTCCCCTGATAAATACCGTCCACACAACTGACGTTAAAATCAATCAATATACTCCCCTGATAAATACCGTCCACACAACTGACGTTAAAATCAATCAATATACTCCCCTGATAAATACCGTCCACACAACTGACGTTAAAATCAATCAATATACTCCCCTGATAAATACCGTCCACACAACTGACGTTAAAATCAATCAATATACTCCCCTGATAAATACCGTCCACACAACTGACGTTAAAATCAATCAATATACTCCCCTGATAAATACCGTCCACACAACTGACGTTAAAATCAATCAATATACTCCCCTGATAAATACCGTCCACACAACTGACGTTAAAATCAATCAATATACTCCCCTGATAAATACCGTCCACACAACTGACGTTAAAATCAATCAATATACTCCCCTGATAAATACCGTCCACACAACTGACGTTAAAATCAATCAATATACTCCCCTGATAAATACCGTCCACACAACTGACGTTAAAATCAATCAATATACTCGCCTGATGAATACCTAGCTACCATACATCTGACGTTAAAATCAATCAATATACTCCCCTGATAAATACCGTCCACACAACTGACGTTAAAATTAATCAATATACTCCCCTGATAAATACCGTCAATACAACTGACGTTTGAAATGTACAGTATATATATAGATGACAGAAGATGAAATGTACAGTATATATATAGATGACAGAAGATAAAATGTACAGTATATATATAGACAGAAGATAATAATACTTGATAGTGTATGTACAAATCCAATTGATGTAATACTTACTTGTGTGTATCTTTCTAAATTGTCAATAAAAGTGTTGTATATTTGTTGACTGTGTAAATTGTTCTGCATTTGTTGACTATATAAATTGTTGTGTATTTTATTTATGGACTATGTAAATTTAATGTGTATAAATGAGCTATTTGAAAACAGTAAATATGATGTTTTTTTGTAGACGGTTCATGAAGAGCTAACACTACAGTGGTTGGTTCTAAGTGGCCCCGTTCGTGAAGTTGCCCTTGCTCACTCCTGGTTCTTCTTTGAGCTTATTGTAAGTACGACACTGCCATTCAAAATACCACAGTACAGCTATGACTGATAAACGGTTGTTAAATCTATCAGATTTCTTAACTTTTTCCTATCCATCATATCCTATATGGGTTGTCTTAAATGTTGTCTTTGTGGTTTGAAATGACAATTATGTAGAACGTGTATTTTATGTAGATAAAAAGTATAGCTGAACACCTGGCTAAGACGGACAGGCTGAGCATCCCACGTCAGATGAGATTTCCCGACCACTTCATAGACGATATCAACTCTCTCATCGGCACCTTCATGCGTGACATCCTAGACAGGTACATCAAGGTATGTATACGTAGTTCAAAGTAACTCTTACGTTTTTTTAGAATTTCAGATTTACTTCAGTTTACTTGATGGAATGATGAGATTACTTGATGGAATGATGAGATGAATTGTTAAATAAATATTAATTGTGTGTTTGTGATTGCCAGGACCCACCACTAATCCGAAGCCTCAACACCAGTTTGGCGTTCTTCCTACATGATCTAATTTCCTACATGGATAGAGGCTATGTGTTCCAGCTCATACGCCAGTACTGCAAAACAGTAAGTTAACTGTGTCTTTACACAGTAAATATTAAAGTAATTGGTGTAAATTGTGGAGTATGTAAATGTGTTGTGTATTTGTGGACTGTGTAAATGATTTTTTTACATTTAATACTAATTGGTGTAAACTGTTAAAGGTGAATGGTACAGTTGTTAGTGTCCTGGGTTGTACAATTCATTTGCCTGATACCCAAGATAAGTACATTTCATGTCAGCTACCTGATACCCAAGACAAGTACATTTCATGCCAGCTACCTGATACCCAAGACAAGTAAATTTCATGTCAGCCTCCTTATACCCAAGACAAGTACATTTCATGTCAGCTAACTTATACCCAAGATAAGTAAATTTGATGTCAGCTAACTGATACCCAAAAACAAGGAAATTTCATGTCAGCTACCTGAGACCCAAGACAGGTAAATTTCATGTCAGCTACCTGATACCCAAGACAAGTAAATTTCATGTCAGCTATCTGATACCCAAGACAAGTAAATTTCATGTCAGCTATCTGATACCCAAGACAAGTAAATTTCATGTCAGCCTCCTTATACCCAAGACAAGTACATTTCATGTCATCTATCTGATACCCAAGACAAGTACATTTCATGCCAGCTACCTGATACCCAAGACAAGTAAATTTCATGTCAGCTATCTGATACCCAAGACAAGTAAATTTCATGTCAGCCTCCTTATACCCAAGACAAGTACATTTCATGTCAGCTACCTGATACCCAAGACAAGTAAATTTCATGTCAGCTACCTGATACCCAAGATTTGTAAATTCAATGTTGAAACTAGTGACCATTTTCAATGATTGATATAAGATTACAGAGTTTGGGCTAGGAAAAGTTTTCAGAATCAGCCTGCGAGTAAATACTCCAAATGTGAAATTGTACACCTATATAATTATGACAGTTCAGTTAAATTGACGGTCTTACAGTTTTTAATTGATTTTGAGATGTTTGCCAATAAAAGAAAAGAAAAGAAATTTGTGAGATTGTAGATTTAAATATATAGGACCTTAACAGCCTGTCAACACAAAAAAAACAATAAATAAATAAGAAGGAAGCAGTTCTGAACGCAAGTAACATGCTTTTAGATGTTTTATTTATTGTGGAACCTAAACAATGTTGAAACCTTCTTCAGAAAGTGTTGATAAGCTATCAGGAAGATTGTGACATTGTATATACTGGTATCAGATTGACTACTTACCCTGTATATAGAGAATAATACATGCCTTTTTCCATATCACACCCAGTATCAACCCGAGACTGCAATATCAGCCGAAGGCCCGAGGGCTGATATTAGTCGAGGATTGATACTGGGTGTGATATGGAAAAAGTGATGTTTTATTCTGTTTATTACATACTTACTAATAAAAGCTACTATCTTATGATAATTTTTTCTTTTGAAATATTGAAAAACGAAAAAAAAATCAAAAAGGGGTGTGGAAAAAGTCATGATTTATTCTGTTTATTACATACTTACTAATAAAAGCTACTATCTTACGATAATTTTTTTCTTTTGAAATATTGAAAAACGAAAAAAATCCAAAAGGGGTGTGATATTGGTTTTGCGGGCTGATACGGGTTTTTGGGGTGTGATATGGCGGGGGCTGATACAGGTTTTGGGGTGTGATACGGCGAGGGCTGATATGGGTAAGAACAATTGTGTCGTATCGCATATACAAAAAACACGTATTTATTAGTAAGTATGTAATAAATACTGGTATGAGAAAGACTATTTACTTCGGCTAATAGGACGACTCTGATGTTGCAGAGACTATATCAAACCTATTATACAAGTAGTGTCCTTTGTTTTATTACAGGGCCTCAGATTGGCTATGTAGGTTAACAATAAAACTGATGCTCATGGAGACTATATAAAACTAAATGTCCAAGTGTCTTACATTGTATCACACAGATTTCAGACAGGCTGCGTACCTTGGCTGACGGTACGACTCTGATGCTGTTGAGACTCGACTTTATCCGTATTATCTGCAGCCATGAGCATTTCTTTCCCTTGAATCTTCCATTTGCCACTCCACTGACCCCGTCCGGTAACTCATCGAGCCCGACCCCCAGCATCTCCAGCATCACCTCCGCCACGTCCTACACCTCGACCAGCACCCTGACAGACAAAGGCCGCTTCTACGAGCTCACCCTGGAGTTCCGACAACAACATTTCTTAGTGGGCCTCATGTTATCTGACCTTGCCGTGGCACTGGAGACATTGTAAGTTTCAGACAAGATAGTATATCGTTATGATAATTCATGGGACATGGCTGCCACTGATTTTGTCTATATTACAGTATTATAGTGGTATTTATTACTATTAAGCTCTGTGTGACAACTTAAAGCTGAATTGCCTTATTTCTATGATTAAAAAGGTGTGATATTTTGGATTAATTATTAATAAATTTAATCAGCAGAAACCTTTCTGGTGAGTAAAATCAAACATTATGATAGTGGATATGATCTGTATCTTACCTTAGTGTGTGTACTTGTATCTGTAAGTTGGTTTTTCCTCTACAGCCACCCTGCCATACACCAGCGTGCTATCACCATGGTATGTAACATGTTGTACAACCACGACCTGGACGTACGCTACACAGACCCAGAGATGAAGAGCAGACTAGCTGCCCTATACATGCCCCTCATAGGCATAGTAATAGATGCCCTCTCTCAGNCGTATTTATTAGTAAGTATGTAATAAATACTGGTATGAGAAAGACTACTTACTTCGGCTAATAGGACGACTCTGATGTTGCAGAGACTATATCAAACCTATTATACAAGTAGTGTCCTTTGTTTTATTACAGGGCCTCAGATTGGCTATGTAGGTTAACAATAAAACTGATGCTCATGGAGACTATATAAAACTAAATGTCCAAGTGTCTTACATTGTATCACACAGATTTCAGACAGGCTGCGTACCTTGGCTGACGGTACGACTCTGATGCTGTTGAGACTCGACTTTATCCGTATTATCTGCAGCCATGAGCATTTCTTTCCCTTGAATCTTCCATTTGCCACTCCACTGACCCCGTCCGGTAACTCATCGAGCCCGACCCCCAGCATCTCCAGCATCACCTCCACCACGTCCTACACCTCGACCAGCACCCTGACAGACAAAGGCCGCTTCTACGAGCTCACCCTGGAGTTCCGACAACAACATTTCTTAGTGGGCCTCATGTTATCTGACCTTGCCGTGGCACTGGAGACATTGTAAGTTTCAGACAAGATAGTATATCGTTATGATAATTCATGGGACATGGCTGCCACTGATTTTGTCTATATTACAGTATTATAGTGGTATTTATTACTATTAAGCTCTGTGTGACAACTTAAAGCTGAATTGCCTTATTTCTATGATTAAAAAGGTGTGATATTTTGGATTAATTATTAATAAATTTAATCAGCAGAAACCTTTCTGGTGAGTAAAATCAAACATTATGATAGTGGATATGATCTGTATCTTACCTTAGTGTGTGTACTTGTATCTGTAAGTTGGTTTTTCCTCTACAGCCACCCTGCCATACACCAGCGTGCTATCACCATGGTATGTAACATGTTGTACAACCACGACCTGGACGTACGCTACACAGACCCAGAGATGAAGAGCAGACTAGCTGCCCTATACATGCCCCTCATAGGCATAGTAATAGATGCCCTCTCTCAGCTGTACGACCCCAGGGTCGAAGGTCGGTACAGAAACTCGGGAAACTTTGAGGATGATGAAGGGGATAAAATCAGCCATCGAGTTGCCATGGCAATAGCTGGAGGAGAAGGTGTGTTTGGAGGCAGAGTCTCTGAAACTCCTCACTCCAGCAACAGCAAGGTTTGTTCACTTCCTTATCCTTACATTTCCGTCACATGATGTCGGTAAATATTTAGCACAAGTTTGGGCTATTGTAGTTTTTTTTAAGATTTTCGTGTCATGATGTATTACAGAAAATTGAAATAAAAACAACATCTTTTTCTTTTATGGTTCATAGGTGTCAAGTCTCTCCAGCTACTACTGATCTCAACATTATTTTAATCAATCGTCATCTTTTCTTCATTTTGTTTATTCATGAAGTTTTTGGTAAATTTTTTCATTCCTTAAATTAATTCAGAATACCAATGAATTGGCTTGTTAAATCATGAGTGTCCCCATCATGTTTTCACCCATACTTGCTTACCAATTGTTTTCCCATTAGATTTTTACCTTACCTGAAATGTGCTTTTGCAGGCCAAAAAGTGTCCCCTGAGTGCGGAATGCACGCGCAACCTGCTCATCTGTTTTATGTGGGTGCTGAAGAATGCAGACCAGACGGTTCTGCGACAGTGGTGGACTGACCTCAACATCGGTGTCCTCAGCCAACTGCTCGAGGTCGTCTACTTTGCCATCTCCAATTTTGAATACAAGGTTTGTCCCATCACTGCAACACAAGCCATTGGTTTATTTATAAGTTTATTTTAGCTAGTTGCATAATCTTTTTATCTTGTTTTTATAATTTAATAGTGCAGTTCTAGTTTTTGTCAAGATCCTTTTTTTTAGTTTGTTTTATAAAAAAAAGTTTTTTTAGGACCTAAAAATGGATATTAATGATTTATGAACTCTAATCTGTGATTATGACATTGATATACTAGGTTAAGATTTGATGTAGGGTTGTTATAGTTTTGATGTAGGGTTGTTATAGATTTGTTTGTTATAAGAAATCTTCTCTTTAAGGTATAGAGTCCTACCACGTTTCTACAGTATTATTTTATTTGAGACTATTAATTTGATTTTTCTGGTCTCATTTTGTTCGTACTTGGTGGTAAATTGTATTTGTTAGATAACATACATGTGTTAAGCCTAATTAACCATATTCTGAAATCAGAAATGATGTTTGTGGCTTGTTTTTGGAGATTATGAGGGATATATATGGCCAGGCACATGATGGGATCCTTGCTGAAATGTCTAGTGTTTTATTTTCTGCAAAAAAGTTAACAATCTATTATTTCTGGTTGATGGCCTTCGAAGGAAAGTAGAGCATTTTGAAGTTATTCCGAGTTATTTATAGCAGAAGAAGTATTAACATATCAAATACCATGACGGGTGGCACAAACTATCCCTGCTATATAATGACTAAGCCCAGGAATCAAATCCCCATGGTGGATTGGAGATGCTTTTATGATAAAGGAAATAAAAAGAACTTTATTACTTTCAAATATGAATCTTTGCTGTAGAGCAACTCCAAATTAAAAAAAATGCCAAACAAATTTGAACTCTTTTTCATTAGAGGTACACACAGAGCACTGGGACTCTATACCTTAAAGAACTCTTCCGTTTTAAGAAGAAATATTTTGGATAAATTCTAAAAATCATCTGTTTATAATTTGTTTGATCAACACCACAACATTTATCAATCTATAATTACAAGGAATTTGAATTTGACATAACTGTATTATATTCTGCTACCATCTGTTCGTCCTATATTTTGGTAATCAATTACAAGTTTTTATCATTTCAGGCATTTAAACATGTCTAAGCATGCTTAGTGTTGTTTTTGGCATGTTCTGTTCATGATACTGTAATTATTTTGTAACACTTAGTAAACAGTTATTAGTATAATGATGTAGTTGAAAGTTTGTAGTACAATATTTTGTTCAGGATGTAATGAATGTGTGGCAGATAAGAATGTTTTTGCTTTCTTTAAAGAAAAGTTAAGTTTCTCATCTACTTAGTCAATCCAAATAATTTACAAACTTTGAATTTCAATAATTATGGATTAACAAATGTAGACACTAAGAGTTATCTCCCTTACAAAATGCATGCCATCCATACATTTTGTAAAATACTCCTGTTATTGTCTTAACGGCATGATTCAGTGTTGTTGGTGATGATTGTGGTAGTTTTGTATCATTGGGTGTGGTGTCTTCTAGTGTTCATAAACTCTCCTTTCCATCTCTTCCCAGCTTATAACTAATTCATTACCATCATGTTTGCTTTTTTCAGTAACTTTGAAAGCAGATTAATTTGAAATGTATACATAATAAAGACTTAGAGCTGTCATGTTTAGTGCTAAATTTTATACCAAAATATCCAACTTTTCTTGTACTAACCATTTAGTAAATTCCCCAGGCAGTGATATAGTACACAGACATACATAACAAACCTCAGGGGACCTAATATATTAGTTCTCTATACAGTAAAACAGGTTTATAACAAACCTCAGGGGACCTAATGTGTTAATTCTCTATACAGTAAAACTTGTTTATAACAAACCCCAGGGGCCCTAAGATATTTGTTCTCTATACAGTAAAACTTGTTTATAACAAACCCCAGGGGACCTTAGACATTACTTCCCTATACAGTAAAACAGATTTATAACAAACCCCAGGGGACCTCAGATAATAGTTCTCTATACAGTAAAACAGATTTATAACAAACCCCAGGAGACCTTAGACATTACTTCCCTATACAGTAAAACAGATTTATAACAAACCCCAGGGGACCTTAGACATTACTTCCCTATACAGTAAAACAGATTTATAACAAACACCAGGGGACCTAATGTATTAATTCTCTATACAGTAAAACTTGTTTATAACAAACCCCAGGGGCCCTAAGATATTTGTTCTCTATACAGTAAAACTTGTTTATAACAAACCCCAGGGGACCTTAGACATTACTTCCCTATACAGTAAAACAGATTTATAACAAACCCCAGGGGACCTCAGATAATAGTTCTCTATACAGTAAAACAGATTTATAACAAACCCCAGGGGACCTTAGACATTACTTCCCTATACAGTAAAACAGATTTATAACAAACACCAGGGGACCTAATGTATTAATTCTCTATACAGTAAAACTTGTTTATTACAAACCCCAGGGGCCCTAAGATATTTGTTCTCTATACAGTAAAACTTGTTTATTACAAACCCCAGGGGCCCTAAGATATTTGTTCTCTATACAGTAAAACATGTTTATAACAAACCCCAGGGGACCTAAGATAATAGTTCTCTATACAGTAAAACAGGTGTATAACAAACCCCAGGGGACCTAAGACATTAGTTATCTATATAGTAAAACAGGTTTATAACAAACCCCTAATGAGACATCAATGTTATTTATTATTACAAATTGACAAAAAGTGTATTTCTATAAAAATATGTTAACTATATCGTGATTGGCAGTAAAATCAGCATCTGATACAATTGTACCTTACTTCAGACTAGACGTGTGAGGATTAGCTGTGTTAACACAGATAAGGTAAGGGACAGGTTCTGTCGGAGCTTTACCTTGTAGGACAGAAACATGTCGTAATTATCGGAGCTTGATCGTACTAGTCGTTGGTGCAGTACTGTGTGGTATGTTTGTTGCTGCTCACTCGGGTTGGTCAGAGGATTTGCGTGACTTGCGGTTGTTGAAATGAATTCCTCTTTGCCTCATTCACCAGCTTTCCGTTTTTTTTTCCAAATCCCGCATCAGGTTTCGGTCGCTTCTCCTACCCGGCTACATTACCGAAATCTCATTCCATTCACATACATCTTATTGGTCATATCCCTGAAATATTGTCCTGATCTTTTTGAAGGTTTGGTTTATCTTATTATGTTAATAGTTCCACATCATCAGCAGTAGAAGAATGAACATACATCAATATTAATTTAATCACTATGAAAACTAGTCTAGTACTTTCATTCATCATTTTCACACCATCATATATATTCACTTACGAAAGTGCGAAATCCTTTTTCAGTGCAACTTTAATATCACATTCTGTTAAATTATTGGTCAATGTAAATACGATATAAAATAGTAAACTTCATAATCTAGTGTAGACTAGCATGATATAGATGTGGGGCTTACAATTAATCCACAAGTCTGACAATTCTGTAACAACACCTTCATTGTGCATGTTGATGCACCATGCCTGGAGTAACAGTTTTCTCCCCTATTAGACAGAGATATCTACACCGGGAAAAGATATCTTTGTCTTACCTTACCCTAGGGTAAAGACGGGGGGATTCCCCTGTCGTAACATGACATCATGTCAACGATGCAATGTCGAGACGTTAACATTAGCAAATCATGGAAGATAACTCTGATGTGCTGGAAATTGTGAAATAAACGTTCCCAGTTTATGAAATAACTGTACTTGTATTTGATGTGGGAGAAACAAATCATCCCCCCACTTTAGGAGTAAGACGGAAAAATCTCAACTCTGGGGATAAAATTCTTAAATGGCTGGCCCTCGGCAAGCCTCAGGCTAGACATTTATAATCTTACCCCTTGGGTTGAGATTTTTCTGTCTTACCCCTAGGTGGGGAAAGATTATATAGGTCAGTTATTTAAGACTCAATTAATGATTATCATCTAGTCATTTGTGAATATTTATTAATTTCAAAATTGGTGTTTGAAACGTACAAATTCAAATATTTATTTTCCAAATTAAAAAACCCCCCAGAAATTCAGCTTTTAGATTTATCTCTGTAACATGTACCTAATATATATCATTTTAGACATTTCTTTTTACATCTTATCATAAAATATATAGTAGTCATTACTCTCAAACAAGAATTGCACGATATATTATAGTTTTGTAACCAACCATACTTATATATACACAAAATCTTTTAAGCTATAATAATTAGCATAACATGAGATATTTTCAAAATTAAAAAAAATAAATATTTAAAGATCCATATTTACAACATAGACGTTTATTTTATACAAGAATTTCATGCATGGTTGTATGGAGATAAATACAAGGCAGTTACCACTCAAGTGTAGTACCAGAATGCAGCATGTTCCCATGACAACTAAAACTAATGACCTTGACATTTCAAGAGTGAGTGGCATGTACAAATTGATCCTTTAATTGGGGGATCCAGCGGGCTGACAATACCACAGCATAATTATGTTTTACGGTAGTGTAGTATGATACTGTCATTGGGAAGTAGGGGTTGGGGTGTTATTGTATTTTAATGTCAATCTATATGATACTGTCGTTGGAGGGTTGGGGTTACTGTATTGTAATATAATACTGTCGTTTGAGGGTTGGGGTTACTGTATTGTAATATAATACTGTCATTTGAGGGTTGGAGTTACTGTATTGTAGTATAATACTGTCGTTTGAGGGTTGGGGTTACTGTATTGTAATTTAATACTGTCATTGGAGGGTTGGGGTTACTGTATTGTAATATAATTCTGTCGTTGGAGGGTTGGGGTTACTGTAATGTAATATAATTCTGTCGTTTGAGGGTTGGGGTTACTGTATGGTAATATAATACTGTCGTTGGGGCAGTGGGGGTGGTGTGGGGATATTACTGTAGTGTTATAGGAAACTGTATTGGTGCAGGGAATTATACAGATCTGTATTAGGATACTGTCATTTGGGAACGATACATTGGTGTAAAATGTTAATGTTTTTGGGGGATAGGGATGAGGGCATTACTGTAGTGTTAGATGATGCTGTCTTAGTGGGTAGGTTCTGGGGGGGTATTTGGGATTGAAACAATAGTGTCATATGATACTGTCATTGTCTGTTGTTCTGAGAATAGCTGAATTGAATTATTTAAAGTTTCTTACCACTTCCTACTACAGTGTTGTAGTAATGATCAAATCAGTCTTGGCTGTAGGTATTGTCAGGCCGCAGATTATTATATAGAGTTCTTAAAAGTAGACCAATTTACTAAGAAGGGGGGTGATCTAATTGACCATTCAGGGGAAATGGACAGTGGTCAACACGATTAGGCCCCACCTCTCTGTATCCACGGAAACACTGGCTGATTGGCAGGAAAGCCCGACTAATATGGGCTCTCGACCCAAAAGTGCAAGTCTACCCAAATCCTATGAGCAGATCTGGGAGGGCATTCAGCGAAAATCACAGGACCTTCTGAAGGGGCCCGGATCCCTTCTAAACAGAAGTTTTAGCAAAGACGACCCCTACAATCAGGTATAGACCTTGGGTTTCATAGAATGCAGGATATTGGCTCTCTCTCTCATTCTTTTTTATTTTATTTTCGTTATTTATTTTGTAACTGTAGTCATATTTAGTTTTTTTCTTCTTTTCTTTCTTCCTGCTGCTACTTTGTTTAATTTTATGTAGATATTCTACGCACTGTCTTGAGGCTCATCGTCTCCTCGATATGAGATGTATGCTTCTATGCTATACATAAGTCCACTCTTTGTAAGCTTGCTTTGATGAGCTTCATGCAGCTTTAAACATTAATGTCCTCCTGACTGTGGGCATCAGTTTGTTGTGTAGCCTGTAGGTAATCTTTACTGTTTGGATAGCAAAGTTTTCCTCAGTTTAGAACACCTGGTGCCAAGTACCAGTAAGCTGTTGTTATGGTGTGGCATCCGTCGTCAATCAAACTTTTTCTTCAAAAAACCACTCGCCATAGGAATGAAATACCTAGGGTCATAGAATTTGCCAATTAAGTAGCTTCCCAGGATAGAGAACTATAAAGTGTCCTCAAAAAAGTTAACCTTGACCTTCTTGATAGAGCCATGGTGCTAGTGAATGGTCCTTTGACATATAAAAATAAAGGTAAACTGTATTGGTGTGTCAGATTGTTTGCGTGCACAATGTTTGAAACAGACATTAAGTAATATTGGGAAGCAGGTTGATTTTAAAGTATGTGTTTACTTCAGATCTAGAGATCTGAGGGATATGCAAATGGTTATGTGACTAATGCTGACACTGTCCAAGGAACCAAGCTACGTTGTGTTGACAATAGACAACAGCCTCCTCAACACTTAGTGTTTACAGTTTTCATAGAGGAACCAAGCTGCGTTATGTTGACAATGGACAGCAGCCTCCTCAACACTTCGTGTTTACAGTGTTCATAGGGGAACCAAGCTACGTTATGTTGCCAATGGACAACAGCCTCCTCAACCCTTAGTGTTTACAGTGTTCTTAGAGGAACCAAGCTACGTTGTGTTGACAATGGACAACAGCCTCCTCAACACTTAGTGTTTACAGTGTTACGTTATGTTGACAATAGACAACAGCCTCCTCGATACTTAGTGTTTACAGTGTTCATAGAGGAACCAAGCTACGTTATGTTGACAATGGACAACAGCCTCCTCGACACTTAGTGTTTACAATGTTCATAGAGGAACTAAGCTACGTTATGTTGACAATAGACAACAGCCTCCTCAACACTTAGTGTTTGCAATGTTCATAGAGGAACCAAGCTACGTTATGTTGACAATGGACAATAGCCTCCTCAACACTTAGTGTTTACAGTGGTCATAGAGGAACCAAGCTACGTTATGTTGACAATGGACAACAGCCTCCTCAACACTTAGTGTTTGCAATGTTCATAGAGGAACCAAGCTACGTTGTGTTGACAATGGACAATAGCCTCCTCAACACTTAGTGTTTACAGTGTTCATAGAGGAACTAAGCTACGTTATGTTGACAATGGACAACAGCCTCCTCAACCCTTAGTGTTTACAGTGTTACGTTATGTTGACAATAGACAACAGCCTGCTCGATACTTAGTGTTTACAGTGTTCATAGAGGAACCAAGCCACGTTATGTTGACAATGGACAACAGCCTCCTCAACACTTAGTGTTTGCAATGTTCATAGAGGAACCAAGCTACGTTGTGTTGACAATAGACAACAGCCTCCTCGACACTTAGTGTTTACAATGTTCATGGAGGAACCAAGCTACGTTATGTTGACAATGGACAACAGCCTCCTCAACACTTAGTGTTTACAGTGTTCATAGTATTGTTATACTTTGCAGCTGAGAATATTACGGCTGTAAAATTGGCATAAAAGGTACAAGTCTGACCACAATATTACAGCTTGTTACAAGTCACAGAAATTATGCTGTGGATCTGCTCATCAAAAGTCTGCATACACATACTTGCCAACTCTCCCTATTTAGGAGGGAGACGCCCAATTTTTTTCCCTTAAATTTAGTATTTTCAACCAGTGAATTTGCTAAACTATTCCTACATTCTAAGATCTTTTGACTTCAACTGATAGAACGACTCAAAATATGTCATTTTCCAGGGTTATGTTGTCTCTAGGGATTGTATACACAAATTATATTTATGTTTTAATTTTGAGTATGCAGAATCTCCCCCATGGAAATTTCAAAAAGTTGGCAAGTATAGCACACAGTGGGTTACTAACATAATAATGGTCCAGGTGAGCGCTGCAGGCCCACTGGGCTTCTTGTTTATTTCGTTAATTTTTTTTGCAGTTATAATGTATATAAGACTGGATTGGGAAGACCTTTTCTATATATCCCATTGAAGTTGATGTTCTGTAAAACTGTTTTTTTCCAATTATATCTGGCTCCAACACTTATCTTTGTAAAGTGCGCAGAAACAGAACAGCTACCATCTAGGTTGATACATAAATTTGAAAACATTATCTTGTTTTCTCGTATACAGCAAAATTTTGTTTCCTAATTTTATTTTAATTTTATTTCTGTTTTGAGTTTTTTAGATTAAACTCCTTGAAAATTTATGTTAAACTGATGAAAAGAGCCTGCGAAATTCAGATGTCAGTAAGATTTCAATGTTTACTTGTCTGGTAATTAAGTACATGTTTTTGTGTCCAAATGTACGTATTTTTGATATTTACCATAATGTACTACATTTCATTGAAGGTGTTATTATGTTGTATCCGTCACCCTTACATCGCTGTACCTTGACCAGGTGGTAGATGTATGCTTGGCATGTTTAGCCCTAGCTAGACAGAAACCCACCATATATATATATGTACGATGCTATAAAAGTGAGCAGTGTTCGTTTGTGGAATTTTTTGTGAACAGGTCAAAATTTACCGATTATGTTGTGATACAGCTTTGATTTAGACCTTTGTCTGAAATATAAATGATTTTTTCACTAATTAAATTGTTGAAGGTCATTTAAGTACGCAAGAAAGTTGATTTGATTGACATGAAATTGAACGAAAAAATGACACACCACAAAACTGTGCACTTTTGTAGTATATGCCTAAGTATTGTGACCTAGACCGGCTGTGGCCACCACGAGACACGAGGCCTTGTATCTATGTACCACCTGTACCCTTACACTTAGTCGTAGAGCAGGATGAATGGACACTTTATATGATCGTATTGTTGGGTTGTCATTTATGTAAAAGTGCTGTTCATGTTCAGCACAATGACTATTATTGGTAACAGTGACACACTTTGTACTTTCTTCTCTATATTGGTTGTCTTTTTTTTTATTTTGGCCTTTGCTACCTTTAGAGCTACATTCTAACATGATTTTCATGAATAGGATTGTAATCTTTGTATAAAAGGAACTTTAAAGGGGCCTTTCAATCATTTTCTGTTTCATGATAGTTAAGACTATTTAAAGAATACCTTTTGATTATATAATTCTCCTTCCAACTTTTAAGCCTTCTCTTTCTCCAATAGATTTCTCCTTCCCACCCCACTTCATTGCTTATATGAGCCTATATGAGGAAGTTATATACTCAGTGTAATTTGTTAAAGTCTTCTGGTATCTTTTCTGTAACTGTCAAAGGGTAAACATTAATTCAAAATTAATAGTATCTCTGATAATTGTAGTTTGAAACAGTTTGCTCAGTAATTCATTTTGATTCATGATTTCATATTAAAAGGTATGTGTCATGTGTGACCTTGATTTTAACACATAAGAAGAAAACTGATTGAATTTTCATTATCTTTGTTCCTTGAGTGAAATTTGATGAGGAGATGTAATGGAAGTACTAACGTTTTTTGCCGCTGTTTTCCAGGGTAAGAAGAGTCTCTCACAATGCTCACAACAGACACTGAAGAAGAGTGTTGACATGAAGTCACGCCTGGAGGAGGCCATTCTTGGTAACCTCAATGCTCGCACAGAGATGATGCTGAGGAGGAAGCAGATTCCTTATTCTCAAGGTAAATCTCAGGTCCTTGATGTACAAATATTAACTATGGTGAAGAAACAGCAATATAAAAGAAATCGGAACGCTAAACTCTTTTCATGTGGGAAAAAGATTGCTCTTGGAATATCTAAACTAATTTTGATGTCAATATATATGCAGATAATTTTGTTTGGTTGAAGGTTGATGTGATCTTAAGAATTACAATCTTACGCGTTCTAGCTCTCTTGAACTAAGTGTATTGCAAGGGTTAAAGGTAGTTGTCCAATCATGGTTTCTTACTTGAATGAAAAATGTTACTATAAAGACAGGGAAAGCTTTTTCTTTAAGCAATACAACAGTGTCTTTAATTTCAATTTGCACAAATTTAATTGAATTGTGTGGGTGTGTCTGCAGGTGATAGAACACCCCCATCTGGACCAGCAGGGGGAGATAACCGGCTGCGCTGGAGAAAGGACCAGCTCCAATGGAAACCTTCGTATGAGACATTTGACAGGTAAAGCCACCCAGGGGGTCAACAATCCAGAAACTATTTTCTGATTAAAGATATTATTCTTTCTTCTTAAACTTTTTCTGAAACCAAAATTTCTGTATTGGCAATAGATCACCATTAATTTAATCATTGATTACTGAGAAATATGGTTTATTTTTTAAAGTAAAATGTTTAGATTCTGATTACCCTTTGTATGTTGTCTGCCCATCTGATGTCCGTCCTTAAACAATTCTTGTTATCGCTATTTCTCAGAAAGTACTGGAGGGATCATTCTAAACTTGGATATGTATGTTCCCTTAGTCTCTAGTTGTGCATGTGTACTTTTGAGACTGATTGGATAAACCAAATGGCCAACAGGTGGTCATTTCGGATTTTGACATTATAGGTTTGTTATCGCTATTTCTCAGCAAGAACTGGAAACACCTTTTTCAAATTTGATCTGTAAGTTCCCCATGGTCCCTAGTTGTGCATGTTTACTTTTTAGACTGACTGGACAAACAAAATGGCCAACAGATGACCATCTTGGATTTTGACAGTTAAGGTTTGATATCACTATTCCTCACCAAGTGCTGGAGGGATCTTTTTTCAAATATGATATATATAGGTTCCTGTTGGTCTTTGATAGGGAATGTTTACTATTGAGACTGATGTGTAGCCAACTTATATTTTGACATTTAAGATTTGTTATTGCTATTTCACAGAGCACTGGAGGGTTTCCCTTGGTCTCTTGTTGTGCATGTTTACTTTTGAGACTGACTGCACAGGCAAAATGACAATTGTAGGTTTCCCTTGCATCCCTCCTTTAAAATACCCCTGGCCCGAATTAGAGTTCATCCCTCTTTGACAGCACTTCTAGTTATGTAAGAGTTACACTTCATGCAATTTTTTTATACAATAATATCAACCATAGTGGCAAATGACATACAACATTTTGAGGTTTAAGATAATGTACAAGATGCTTGTGTAGGATTTCCAACATGGGACTCGGTAATAGTATATGCGAGGAAATTGAAGAGCACAGAAGGTAAAAAATAATCTTTCGTAGATCTGATAAAGATCCTTTCATGGTGGGCACCAAGATCCTTCTAGGATCTCTTGTTGATATGTTGTATGATGAAAACCTGTTTTACCTCGGGTTTCTAGCTCTAAACCACGGGACATTGAGGCTGATGCTCACATAGAGGGAAATCTAGCAGCAGAAATCAGTATGATAGAACTGGATACTCTTGAACTCATTGTACAGGTAAGTCTGTAAACTTCAGTATACACTATGATTACGGGTGGTCGGGTGGTGCAGTAGATAGCTGCTATGCACTTGCCTTTCACCAAGGCGGCCGGAGTTCGATTCCCCGATTGGACGTGAAAAGATTTGGGTCACCTGCCCGACCACGTGGGTTTTCTCCGGGTATTCCGGTTTCCTCCGGGTGCTAACATCCGGTTAGATAAATAAAGTTTACATATATTACCATGATTATTATAGTATAATAATGCTTGACACCATGATACTTGCTATTGGAGGTGGGTATGGTTCCAAATCTTTTATTTTTGCTTGATTTCCCAAAAGATTATAAGAAATATTGTATGGAAGTATTACACCAATAGTAATAGTGGAACCCCACTAGCCTGTTACCAAATGTCATTATATAAACCAGCCGTCGCCGGAAACTGAACAAAATAACTGAATTGAATAGGCCCTTTCTTTATTTTATTATCAATATCAATATTCTGAAGACTGGCCCATCAGAATTCTGAAATACAAGTCTGATTTTCTGTAAAAAGAAAACTGATCATTAGTAGGTCAATCTAGCTCTTCTGATCACCAACAAAAACCCTACATGCCTGCTGATGCTCGCGAAGACCCTGGGGTAATAGTTTACTGCTGGTATAGAATTTAGTGTGTGTATTTCTGTATGTTAAATTACTTTGCTCAATCATGTACTCATTGATTAAGTTGATGCCGTATTGTTCAAAAATGCTAAATTAAAAAAAAGATCGCTTCTCAACACTCATCATATGTTCCTTATGAGTAAAATGTTCTGTATGATTGATGCCCTAGCCTCTAATTGACCGAGACATTTTCTTCTTTTCCAAAACCACTGCATCAATTGATTCAAATTTTGGGTACATTCTATGCCCCTGTAGCATAAGGGATCTTTTGTTATCTTGTACAGTTATATTTTTCTGATGAATAAATATGACTTGGACGTTGTGTTTCAGATCGCACAGAATTTGGAGCATATCCCCTTGCTCAGCTGTGCATTGAAGGTGCTCCTCCATGCCTTCAGTCTCAACCAGAGCTCTGTGGTCCTGGAGAACATGTTTGCTACCCAGCGGTCCCTTGTCACAAAGGTAGGTTATCAAACTGTGGCTGTGCTGCAAGTTCTATTAAAATTATCTGACCTCAATTTCCGGAGATATCTATACTAATGCTTTTTCCTTAACTAAACTTTCCATATAGGAAAAGCATTCCTGAAATCATTGGAAAGATCTTGAAGTGAATTTTCTACGTGACATATTTCAATTTTTCTGCGTGTATCATCAGTAAACGCAAAATTTCACCTGGTAATAAGCCCACCCCCTACTTTTGACCCATTTTTTGCACAGTCCCCCTAGGCTTATCACATGGTAACTGCAAGGATTTTAGCTTACTTTGAAGTGAAGATGAGTGCTGTAGAGTACATAAGCCCCTGTATGACCCATCATTGTTATAGTTCCTGGACCTGCTGTCTGACTGCTATAGTGTACATAAGCCCCTGTATGACCCATCATTGTTATAGTTCCTGGACCTGCTGTCTGACTGCTATAGTGTACATAAGCCCCTGTATGACCCATCATTGTTATAGTTCCTGGACCTGCTGTCTGACTGCTATAGTGTACATAAGCCCCTGTATGACCCGTCATTGTTATAGTTCCTGGACCCGCTGTTTGAGGAGGAGACTGAGCAGTGTGCTGACCTTTGTCTGAGACTCCTACGTCACTGTAGCTCCTGTATAGCAAACACTCGCTCTCAGGCCAGCGCATCACTCTACATGCTTATGAGGCAGAACTTCGAACTTGGGAACGTAAGAAATCTATATCGATTAAATTCATTAGATATTGTAACTATAACACACCTTTACTAGGAATGCTTCAGAACATAGACGGTTACAGCACTTGTACATGTCATTGTGTAAATCAAAATCAGAAAAGCTGAAATGAATTAAAATTAAAAAATTAAAAAAGGGGAAAAAAATGATAATGTATTAGTGAGTCAGCAATGGTCATTTAATACCTAGGTGTATGGCAGGACAAGAAAACAACTCCTGTTTACAAGATTCTAGATATTGTAGGGGACGCTAATAAAAAAAAATCAAATAATTTCAGAATTTTGCACGAGTGAAAATGCAAGTAACCATGTCCCTGAGTTCACTGGTCGGACAAAACCAGAACTTCAATGAGGAATACCTCCGCAAATCCCTGAAGACCATCCTCACTTACGCTGAAGCTGATGTTGATCTGCAGGAAAACACCTTCCCGGAGCAGGTGAGAATCCTTGACATGTAGTGTCATATTTTGTTCTCCTGTCACGTGTTGTTACTTAACGCTTTCACCCCTATGTAACTTAAGTAGACTCTACCATGCATTGATCTGGATGAGTCCATTATGGTCTACAGTGGTGAAAGGGTTAATGATAACGTTAAATTTTGATTAAGGTATTCCATTAATATGGTGAAAGCTACAAGGAAACAGTTTATTATCAATAATTTTGCTTTGAACCAAAATGGATTGTTAAGTATTAGAGTTTTTAAGATAATTTGGTTGACAGACCACATGGACAGTTTTACTACTTACTGAATAATGCATGATAAATATCTGATGTGTGCGTTACAATCCGACTTTATTTCGGATCTGCTTTGTACAGGTGAAGGACCTAGTGTTCAATCTCCACATGATCCTGTCTGACACGGTGAAGATGAAGGAGTTCCAGGAGGACCCAGAGATGCTGCTAGATCTGATGTATCGTATCGCCAAGGGTTACCAGAACTCTCCCGACCTCCGCCTCACCTGGCTACAAAACATGGCCAGCAAACACAGTGAGGTGAGTTGTATGTCAAGTGTGATGGATTAGAGCTTTATTATCCCCTCACAACGAAAGTTTGAGGAGATTAGGATTCAGCCCATGTTACACTCTTTGTCATCGCTCTAGCGACTTCATTCCTCAAAGGAATTTCATGTAACTTCACACAAGTGTTAATGGCAATGCTGTGAACAAGTTCACGTTTCGAGTTTCTACGTTGAAGGTTAAGGTCACTGTTACTATTTTTAGAAAAACTTTGTCATCGCTCTATCGCCTTCATTCTTCAGCAGAATAAAATGAAAATCTATTATCCATTGAAGAATGCAATCGCTAGACCAGATACTGATACATCATTGAATTTTCGTTTCATTTCCTCGTACATGTGTCACACAATGTGTGAATTCGAGGGGATTTGTATCACCTGTGATTGTGATGTCTTGTTGAAATTGAAACAACTTTTTAAGACTTGTTATATTGTTCACCTGTATTAACTAACCAAGTACTTCTAAAATTGAAATGATTTGAACAAAAGTGTTAAGGAGAATGTTGCTGCCACAAGGCAACACAATGGAAGACTTGAACTAGAGGTATGTTATAGAGAACTAAAAATCTGCTGGATAATAGAGAGGTAACACAATGGCAGACCTGAGACTTAAGGACATTATAAAGTATTTATAAAGATGTTTCGTTAGAGAGGTCACCTAGCTAATAGTGACATGATTTCACAGCGAGGGAACCATGCTGAAGCGGCCCACTGTCTGATCCACGCTGCCGGCCTGATCGCAGAATACCTGGACATGTTGGAGGACAAACCCTACCTACCTGTTGGATGTGTGGATTTCCAGGTAACCAAGGAATTAAAACTTAGCCGTAAAATATCTTATTAGCAGTTTCATAAATAAATGTAATCAAAATTAATCATTCAGATTGGAGGTAGCCCTTTACTCATTCATCCTTGGAGACACATTAGAACTCTTCCAATTCAAAGGTTGGAATTGTTCATTATGAAATTTCAGGGTGAATGAGTTAAACATCTTAATAATAGCAGTTTCATAAAAATTGTGATCAAAATGAATCCTTCAGATTGGAGGCATATATCAGCAATACAGCTTTTGATGCCGTATAGATATAGTAAGCTAACATCCCCCACCCCATTTCTTTTACAATACTGTTACACAGTATTAACCAGTCTTTTTATACCAGCAATATATGTATATATTTAGAGGACAAGCTTGATTTACAGAGAATTGGAGTAAAAAGGAGGGGCATTTTATTTTTTAAATCATGACAAAAGAGTGACAAAAAAAACAATGACATTAATTTTAGGTCTGATTTACTTGATTTAATTAGTTTAGAGTTTACTTGATACTTTCCATAACCCTGAAACTTTGTAGTTAGATTGAAATTGATGAGTCATGCTGAGTACATAATATTCACATGCTTTCATGTTTTCTGCTTTTTATCTCCCTTATTTGATTAATCTGTCGGGGAAACTTTTTAAAATATTCTGAATTTTGCACAGAGTGATGTCTTTGTGATTAGAAGTTTCAGCAGTGGAATGTTTCAACAGTATTTACAGGTTTTGTTCTTTTCCATGTATGAAATTAAAAAAAAATAATTATGATATGGACATAAAGACAGATAATTGCCTGCACACATCATGTATCCTATAAAATCCTATTAAATGATTTCTCCCAATTTCTAACTGAAACCCCACCACCAAAAAAAATTAATGTAAGAGCTATTTTTACTAGTTGTGCTTTTGTTTTTGTACAGAAAATTACACCAAATGTTTTGGAGGAGAGTGCCGTGTCTGATGACGTGGTTTCGCCTGATGAAGAGGGTATCTGTACGGGGAAGTACTTTACAGAGAGTGGTCTAGTAGGACTACTAGAACAGGCTGCCAGCTCTTTTACCATGGTACAGTAGCTCACCACTCAATGTCCCGTACAGTGATTAGGAAAATTCCTTACCAATTGATTAGATATGGTAAAAAGTTATCATTATATTAAAATAACAATATCTGTTTCTCTTAATTAGCTGTGACTGTTTCTCGTAAAGGTAGTACCTGGATTAACCTATATATGTATGACATGCTCTGTTTTGTACAGGCTACTATTAAGATATTTTCGGTAAAGGAAGTACCTAGAGTAACGTATATTTGTATGACATGCTGTATTTTGTACAGGCTACTATGTATGAAGCCATCAATCATGTCTACAAGATCCTCATCCCCATACATGAGGCTCACAGAGACTTCAAAAAGCTTGGAGTCATCCACAGTAAGCTTCACGATGCCTTCAACACCATCATACGACAGGTATGTTACAACTGAAACTTATAACAGGTATGTTATATCTGAAACATATAACAGGTATGTTATATCTGAAACTTACAACAGGTATGTTATCAGTTCATAAGTTTTGATTCAAGATCCGAGTAGTAGAATCAAATTTAGATTCTTCTTCATTAAATTGTTGCAAAGAAGAATTACGATTCTGATATAATGGCAGGTGCACTTCAGTAACTAAGATTAATTAGTTAAGGTCAGATATAGAGGTGGTATTGAGCACCAAGTCTGACACTACCTCACCCACACAGTCCTGAATCCATCTGTGATTGCTTCATCATGTGACGATATGTCCACAGCATTGTTGTAGTGAAATGATATACTTACAGGAGGGAAAGAGAGTGTTTGGTACCTACTTCCGAATTGGATTCTATGGCCACAAGTTTGGCGACCTGGACGGAGAGGAGTTTGTGTACAAGGAGCCAGCCATTACCAAACTTCCTGAGATATCACACAGGCTAGAGGTATGGGTCTCTGGATGTTACAGTTCTGTTACTGAGGTATCACTGTTAGGCAGGTGTATTATTAGCCTCAGTTCTATTTCGTGCAGATGTCATACAATGTTGAAGGTGAGATTAGTTCTTGTTTTTTAGCTCACCTGGCCCGAAGGGCCAAGTGAGCTTATGCCATGGTGCAGCGTCCGTCTTCCTTCCGTCCGTCCGGCGTCCGGCGTCAATATTTTACTTTAAACAACTTCTTCTTAATAACCAAAAGGCCTAGGGTGATGATATTTGGCCAGAAGCAAACTAGGATGAAGGGCTACCAAGTTTGTTCAAATCAATGACCTTCACCTATTTTCAAGGTCACAGGGGTCAAACATGTTAAAAACTTTAAACAACTTCTTCTGAATAACCAAAATGCCCAGAGTGATGATTTTTGGCTAGTAACATGCTGGGATGAAGGGCTACCAAGGTTGTTCAAATGAATGACCTTCGTCCATTTTCAAGGTCACAGGGATCAATTGTCTTAAAAAATCTTTACACAACTTTTTCTCAATAACCAAAAGGCCTAGGATGATGCTATTTGGCCAGTAGCATGCTGTGATGAAGGGCTGCCAAGTTTGTTCGAATGAATGACCTTGACTTATATTCAAGGTCACATGGGTCAAATATATTTAAAACCTTTAAACAACTTCTTCTGAATAACCAAGAGGCTTAGGATAATGATATTTGGCCAGTAGCATGCTTGGAAGAAGGTATACCAAGTTTGTTCAAATCAATGACCTTCGTCCATTTTCAAGGCAAAGGGGTCAATTGTCTTAACAAATCTTTAAACAACTTCTTTTGAATAACTAAGAAGCCTAGGATAATGATATATGGCCAGTAACAAGCCAGGATAAAGGGCTACCAAGTTTGTTAAAATGAATGAACTTTGCTTATTTTCAAGGTCACAGGGGTCAAATATGTTTAAAACCTTTAAACAACTTCTTCTCAATAACCAAAATGCACAGGGTGATGATATTTGGCCAGTAGCATGCTGGGATAAAGGGCAACCAAGTTTATTCAAATGAATGACCTTTACATATATTCAAGGTCACAGGGGCCGATGATATGACTCGTTCTGTATAACCAATAGGTCCAGGGTTATGATATTTTGCCAAAAACATGCTGGGTTGGAAGACTGAACTCTGTTCAACCTAATGTCCTTGTTCGACATTCAAGGTCACAGGCGTCATATGTTTAAATCTTTTAATAGGCTCTTATGAATCAAACACTGATATTCTTCCTGTAGCTGCATTTTAGTCCACTTTTAAGATTACAGGTGTGAGATTAATACCAGGTGAGCGATTCAGGCCCATTGGGCCTCTTGTTTCATTTTCCTTTTTTTTTTTTTTTCTTTCTTTTTTTCCCCAGCAAAATAAATCAAAATACAACAGTGCAGAATACAGACCTAAATATTCAAAAACCACAAATTGTACATGGTCAGTAACACTGTCATATGTAGATGTGAAATAGGTAAATATTAATGAGATTTTGCCTTATGTGTGTCATGAGGTCAGGCATTTATAAGACTCCTTTTAAAGGATCAGCAAGTCTGTGGTGAAATAAAAATAATAACAATAATAATTTGAGGTTCTTATATACCACTTTTTCAAAACCTAGTTTGTAGGTCGTCTCAATGTTCACAAATTGTTATCCGTGCCATGGTTATAGGGCGTTTGCAACCAGCCAATATCTTTCTCAACTCCCTGGGGAGCATACAGCCGGTGCTGCATTTTCGAAATATTGGATGGAACATCTGTTTCTCTTATCAAACTGATTTAACTCATCCACTCCTGAATTTTCATAATGAATTATTCCAACCTTTAAATTAGGAGAGTTCAAATGTGTTTTCAGGGGTGAATGGGTTAAAATCTAAGCAATCACCTTGATGGTAGAAGATTTTCAAATGAATTAGAAAATGAAGAGTTGGATACTCAGGAATATTTAATTTTTCTGATTTCGTTACAGAGTTTCTATGGCGACAGATTTGGACATGACAAAACCACCATCATCAAAGACTCCAACACAGTTGAAAGAGATAAGCTAGACCCAGGCATAGTATGTAACTTCCCCAGATTACATGTCAAACAGAACAATATCATAATAATTATTATATTGTTCATTACCATTAATGTAGTGAATAACATATAAAAGGAGTGATATTGGAGATTTATGATTACATGTCCTTGTATGTTTGTTAATACTGCAGGAATATCATTACTTTTCTAATGTTTGATGATAAGAAATGTGCTTATTGATGATAAAGATGATTATAGTAGAGGTATTTTAATGATAAAGACATTTAACAAAGTGCGTAGTTGTAGACTGGGTGTATATTTATATCTAGGGTTATCCAATACATAGGCTTAGCCACATGTATGTGAGTATGTTTATGTCACACCTGAGTGAAAGAACGTATACCTGGGGTTGTGCATGCAGCTCGGTCTATATGAACGACGCATGTGCAACCACTTTTCCTCACACCCCACAAATCCTTGTCCAGTCACTCCCAAGCTGAGCAGCTTATGATCACATGTACACTCACTGTACCTGCAGATATAATTATATAGCTACATGCCAAGGGATACCATCCGGCCGAGGCCCTGGCTCTCTTTAATTATATAGCTACCTGCCAAGGGATACCATCCGGCCGAGGCCCTGGCTCTCTCTAATTATAAGACAAAGAATAAATATAGAAAACATGAAGGACTTGTGTAATATGTAACATACACACCCCAAGCCTTACATAGTGATTAAGCTTGCAAACAGAGCTATATTAGTTTGCAGGAGGGTTGGATTACACAACATTTGAGTACATATACATGTATAATAAACTTATAAATAACTATAAGGTAACGGAAGTTCAACCCTTCTCTCTGCATTCTTTCTTATTGCACATAACTCCAGCTTTTTTCCTTACTTGCTCATACTAAGATATACAAAATGTAATACGTGACATTGTGTCTTCACTGCAAATACAGGAAGACCTGCCTGACTTTGTAGAATGATTATTTTGTGTCGGTGTATGGAGTATGATTTGTATATGTTTCAGGCCAGTATACAGATCACCTATGTTGAGCCCTACTTTGACCTGTACGAGTATCGGGAAAGGCTGACCTATTTTGACAAGAACTACAACATCAGTAAGAGAAACAGGAATTTAGATTCTGTTTAAGTATAGGCCCAGTATATTAATCATTTGTGGTGATAGAAACGGGGTTGCTGTATTTATTACTATAGAACTAATCCCCAGTTCAAATGAGTCATATAAGTTAATAGGATTTAATGAGATAGATGATGAACGCAGGCAATTACTTGCCTCTATGTCCATATCATATAATATAACAATTTTAATTTACAAATCACTCTCGTTGTTAGATTTATAGCTAGCTAGGTGATTAAATTTCGGTTCAAGATGTTTCCAATGATTTTCTAAACTAATTTTAAAGTCTTTAATTGTTGTAGCCTGTATATGACTGTTCTCTGATCTCTAATTTACAATGATTTTTCTGATTTTTTTGTGTATGCCCTCTTGTTCTAGATGTTTAATCTTGATCAAAGATGCCAGCAGTAACTTTGTTGTAGTGAAAATTGTTCATAATTTTATAGATGTTCATTATATCACCCCTCATTCTTCGGTATGTCAGTGTTGGGATTCCTAAGTTAACTCATTCACCCCTGAAATTTCATAATGAACTATTCCAGCCTTTGAATTGGAGGAGTTTAAATGTGTCTTCAGGGGTGAATGAGTTCAGATAGTGGATGGACACATGCTTAATTTGCCTCTATGTCAAAATCTAAAATATACTATTGAGATTGATCCTTATTTGATTTATATCCTTGGATGTACACTAGATTTATATCCCTAGATGTACACAAGATTTATATCCCTAGATGTACACTAGATTTATACTCATTACTGTTCTCATACATATTGATATGGTAATGTTGGATTCTGTACTTAACAAGCAATATCACATTTGTGAAAAAGAAATAACTTTTGATAGGTCACCATTTGGACAATAAAAACTAAATGCTGTACTTTGCAAGACAGTTTGACAATTCATATACTGTAGACCAAATAACTCAAGCTGTTGATCAACTAAGCTGTTGATCACATTTATATATGTTATCCTAGCAAATAAGCCACAAAGCTATTAATCATAACAACTTCCTGTTTATCAAATGAACCTATTCATATAGACTTCAGATCAATTTGTAAACTGGATAAGAAATCGTAATGATTATGTATTTATCTTTTAGAGAGATTTATGTACGCTACGCCCTTCACCCTTGACGGTCGAGCCCACGGAGATATATTTGAACAATACAAGAGGAAGACAATCCTGACCACCAGTCACACCTTCCCATACGTCAAGACACGTATGGCCGTCATCAACCGGGAACAGGTCAGACATACAGGGGTCAGACATACAGGCGGTCAGACATACAGGCGGTCAGACATACCGGCTTGTGGTCAATTTCCTTAGGGAATGGTTTACGTTGTTCATTTCTTTGAGTACAAGAGGGTTTTTTTCAAAGCTTTTTTTATGTATTTATAGGTATTTTCTACGTTGTTTAATATTATACAGCCATAAATACAATATAATAGCATTACACATGACAAGTTTGGGAAGATGTTCGGTAACTGGAATGAAATATGGTCAGCCCATTTCACCATCTAGGAACTATTAGGGCAATAGTTCTTTCATAGATTGTGTCAATAATTTTTACCTTGATTTACTTGAAACTGGGGAGGTTTTCCGATCACATTTAGTTGTGCACATGTATTTGAATAACTTAGTTATGTGATAGTGAAGTGGGAGATATTTATTAACAGTTTGCTTATAGTTCTAATTAATCTTGATATGAGTATATATAGTCTGTCTCTGTATTATAACATGTAGTGTAGAATCTGTGTAGATCTTGTCTAACTTATCAAAATCCACGTAACATTGACTATTTACCTACTAGTAACATTGACACTTTTACCATCTACCTACTAGTAACATTGACCATCTACCTACTAGTAACAGTGACTATCTACAATTTGATACATTGATAATGTTATAATTAACATACGAGGTATCTTCCCTTCAGGTCATCCTGTCTCCTATAGAAGTTGCCATAGAGGATATTCAGAAGAAGACAAAAGAACTCGCCAAAGCGTTGTGGTCAGAACCAGTAGACACTAAAATCCTTCAGATGGTTCTGCAGGGTTGTCTGGGCACAACTGTCAACCTAGTAAGCTTATCCCCTAGTATCCTCTATCTGCCAACACAACTGTACATAAAGACTGTTCAGATCAAAGATATTGCAAAATGTTTTCAAATCAAGAGCTTTATATCAGAATTTGTTTTTAACTATTTAGTGGTAAAATGATTTCCATGTTATAACTTGTTCTAATTTTGAATTGGCAGGCCCGTCCATCAGGCCTTTGCCAATCAACAGTGACCGTGCTTGCACAAAAGACAAACAAGCGCCTTTATTTTCTTTTTATGGTGTTATTCATCCCCCAAAAATCTGACATGTTCAAAACGATTTTTAGTAAACTCTCGCGAAATATGTTCTGAAATAGAAGATGATTTTTAACATCAATAACAACCACCAAACGTTAAAACAGCCATTCATGTTCATTATTGATGTTTAGTTTGTTTGTTAGTGGTTTAGTGTCCTCACAACAGCCAGGGTCATATGTAACTGGAGGTAAAGAATAAAGGCCTCTACTACCTAAAGGGACTGCTTGCTGGGCATAAATACAATGTTCTTGTTTTTGCAGGAACCATTTGCACACTTTTTGGTCAAGCTGTAGCTTTGTATTTCTTGGACCAGGGCTCGCTCTGTCGGTAGCCAAAGTAGCCATTTGTGGCTATTAATGTTCTTAATTGGCTACTAGCTTAAAAAATAGAAAACAATCTGCAACTTAGTCCCAGAAAAACAGTTTGTCCACTCACCTGTGTGTTGTGGCTGACACCAGTTGCACATACATGATCAGGGCCGACACAGTTCAGCCATTAGGCCTACTTTTGTCGTGTTGCAAGCTTTAGACAACAGTTGATGTTTTAATTGGTGTTACATCAGTGGACTAGGGGGTCAAGTTATATTGGATGGCACATTGACATTGAGAAAACAGAACCAGATAAACCATTCAGACTTACACGCACAGTCTACATTGCGTGATCCCAACTGTCACCTAGAATCTACCCGACTCTAAAATGTACCTTTGTACCTTATCAAATGTAAGTTATCATCTTTAGTTAGATTGGGGTCACCATAAATTAACAGTTCAAATTAATATTTTAAGTTCCTAGGTGTTCACTCTAGCTAGTTTAAATAGTGTACACTGCATCAAATAGTGGGAAGGAGTTTCCACCTGCCCACATCAACATTGATCTGTATTGGAAACATGATTATTATAGAGATGATAATTTAGGGATAACTATGTTACGGCATAACAAAACTTACCATAAATGTTAGAGTATTAAGTTGATAATGTTTACCATATTATAACCTCGCCAAATAAAACTACATCATAGTCATATAAATGTACAGAATATGAAGTATGTAGTAAAAGGAGAAATAGACATTGCATTGTACTATTGTTGATCCATGCCATTACTTTTGATTATATTAGGTTTACAGTCGTCAAGTAAAATTTTAAACAAAAAGTAATGTTACTTTTGTAACAGGAGTGAGAGATAGGCGAAGTTTTGTTTTATTGAACCAAATCTATACAGGCACCATTGATTGTGAAGTCAGCCCAATCAGGATAAAATCTATGAAGAAAAAAGCACACACACACACACATACCAATGTTGCCAATCCTCCAGTGCCATGGGCAATTTGATTTACACATAACTTTTATAGAAAATATGTCAGATGATGAAAGGACACTGTCAAACCCAGCTGTCTGAAGTTTTAATCAAACTTTACCGCAAAATCAATTTACAGTTGACAAAGACTATCATTCTTTTCTATCAACAGATAAAAGAAGAGTAAAATCAACTTTACATAAAGCTAATTAAGATCTTGGGATGATGGACACCAAGGTCCCTGTTGCTGGGATCTCTTGTAATGGTTGATAAGTGTTTGGTTTTCATTACAGGGGCCAGCAGAGGTGGCACTGGTCTTCCTCAAGCCTGTGATGGAAGGCACTGCCGTAGCTACCAAACACCACAACAAACTCCGTCTCTCCTTCAAGGATTTCCTCAAAAAGTAAGTCAACAACACGCCACAATCAAATGTGTCTCTCGTTTAAAGAATTTTTCAAAAAGTAAACCAACAGTACACAGCACACTACAATAAACTCTGTCTCTCCTTCAAGGGTTTTCTCAAAATGTAGNGAGTGCCTGTGACATACTACGGGAGCCAGTATTACTAGATGCGTGTCTGTGTACAGAGTGCCTGTGACATACTACGGGAGCCAGTATTACTAGATGCGTGTCTGTGTACAGAGTGCCTGTGACATACTACGGGAGCCAGTATTACTAGATGCGTGTCTGTGTACAGAGTGCCTGTGACATACTACGGGAGCCAGTATTACTAGATGCGTGTCTGTGTACAGAGTGCCTGTGACATACTACGGGAGCCAGTATTACTAGATGCGTGTCTGTGTACAGAGTGCCTGTGACATACTACGGGAGCCAGTATTACTAGATGCGTGTCTGTGTACAGAGTGCCTGTGACATACTACGGGAGCCAGTATTACTAGATGCGTGTCTGTGTACAGAGTGCCTGTGACATACTACGGGAGCCAGTATTACTAGATGCGTGTCTGTGTACAGAGTGCCTGTGACATACTACGGGAGCCAGTATTACTAGATGCGTGTCTGTGTACAGAGTGCCTGTGACATACTACGGGAGCCAGTATTACTAGATGCGTGTCTGTGTACAGAGTGCCTGTGACATACTACGGGAGCCAGTATTACTAGATGCGTGTCTGTGTACAGAGTGCCTGTGACATACTACGGGAGCCAGTATTACTAGATGCGTGTCTGTGTACAGAGTGCCTGTGACATACTACGGGAGCCAGTATTACTAGATGCGTGTCTGTGTACAGAGTGCCTGTGACATACTACGGGAGCCAGTATTACTAGATGCGTGTCTGTGTACAGAGTGCCTGTGACATACTACGGGAGCCAGTATTACTAGATGCGTGTCTGTGTACAGAGTGCCTGTGACATACTACGGGAGCCAGTATTACTAGATGCGTGTCTGTGTACAGAGTGCCTGTGACATACTACGGGAGCCAGTATTACTAGATGCGTGTCTGTGTACAGAGTGCCTGTGACATACTACGGGAGCCAGTATTACTAGATGCGTGTCTGTGTACAGAGTGCCTGTGACATACTACGGGAGCCAGTATTACTAGATGCGTGTCTGTGTACAGAGTGCCTGTGACATACTACGGGAGCCAGTATTACTAGATGCGTGTCTGTGTACAGAGTGCCTGTGACATACTACGGGAGCCAGTATTACTAGATGCGTGTCTGTGTACAGAGTGCCTGTGACATACTACGGGAGCCAGTATTACTAGATGCGTGTCTGTGTACAGAGTGCCTGTGACATACTACGGGAGCCAGTATTACTAGATGCGTGTCTGTGTACAGAGTGCCTGTGACATACTACGGGAGCCAGTATTACTAGATGCGTGTCTGTGTACAGAGTGCCTGTGACATACTACGGGAGCCAGTATTACTAGATGCGTGTCTGTGTACAGAGTGCCTGTGACATACTACGGGAGCCAGTATTACTAGATGCGTGTCTGTGTACAGAGTGCCTGTGACATACTACGGGAGCCAGTATTACTAGATGCGTGTCTGTGTACAGAGTGCCTGTGACATACTACGGGAGCCAGTATTACTAGATGCGTGTCTGTGTACAGAGTGCCTGTGACATACTACGGGAGCCAGTATTACTAGATGCGTGTCTGTGTACAGAGTGCCTGTGACATACTACGGGAGCCAGTATTACTAGATGCGTGTCTGTGTACAGAGTGCCTGTGACATACTACGGGAGCCAGTATTACTAGATGCGTGTCTGTGTACAGAGTGCCTGTGACATACTACGGGAGCCAGTATTACTAGATGCGTGTCTGTGTACAGAGTGCCTGTGACATACTACGGGAGCCAGTATTACTAGATGCGTGTCTGTGTACAGAGTGCCTGTGACATACTACGGGAGCCAGTATTACTAGATGCGTGTCTGTGTACAGAGTGCCTGTGACACCCTTACACCAAATACAAAAGACGATAACACTATTGACTGCTTCATTGGACATGTTACAGATCTGTGCATTTTAGACTCAAATCCAATTGGTGATTTTAACTGAAGTCTTCCTTACAAGGGAGGTTGATAGAAATCTGTGATTTCCTGTTAGTTACAGTGAGGACAGTGCTATTTAATTCTCATTGCTCATATTTCTAGTATGGCAAGATGACAAGTTTATATAGCTTCCTTGGTTTAAAAAAGAAAGAAATATATTCTGAATTATAGCTTGACTGATTGCATGGCAAAAATACTGCTGTTTGTAGTGATGCATGCATGGACAAGCTCATGTTGAAGCTTCCTTGGAAAATAGGATCTGTTTGTTACTGAAACCGTCTATTTATTGATACCCAGTCCCTGTTATGTTAAACTTGTTGCTCTGAATATCATGTTATCCACCACATATGAGCTGCATTTATTTAGAACCATTTTTATACTGTCTGCTGCTTTATGTTTGGTGTACGTGTTTTTGTCATTTACGGATTAATGACAAATTATGTGTTCTTGTAGTCAATGTTGATGTGTATATATGTCAACACGTATTTTTAATGTTTTAGATGCTAGTCATACTCACAAAGTGCAATACTTTTTTTACATTTATTATAATAAAGACGGATGTGTAGTACAGCCTGCTAACAAAATATGCTAAATGTCAAGTCATTGTCTAACTAATTATCATGCTTCAGGCTTCATATTGCCAGGATTCAATTGTTATTGCCCTATCAGGATCCAGTTCTTATCATTGTCAGGAAGATAAAGTTTGTTGTCTCCGAGAACCCCATCCTTATTGCCAGGAGGATTCAGTGTATCCATTTGACATTGAAAATAAAATTATTAACTCATTCACCCCTGAAATTTCATAATGAACTATTCCAACCATTGATTTGGAAGAGTTCAAATGTGTCTTCAAGGGTTAATGAGTTAATGTTTTTGCTACTCCTAGACATTGATCCTGTCTATTCTGTCTGCCCCTCATGAGAGTGTAGACATTGTCTATTTATCCAAGACTCTAACTGATTATGCAAGCTTGTGGCACCTTCAAGGAATTTTCATGTAAACATTAATCTCTGCTGTCAGTTTTGGCTTAAGTTAACTAATCTCTCATGTCCTCTGTGGTTCTATAATCAGGTACAGTGTAACTTGACTAAATTGCTTCAAAAACAGAACTAACAATGTTGTACACAAGAACTCGTATTTCATAAAAACTAATTGGTGCTTTAGCTCTTTGCATCCAGAAAAAATTATGAATCATATAATTTTTTGATATTAAGTGAAATTATAAAAAAAAATAAGGACTATAATTCTATTTTTTCATAGATAGCTCAGCGGATTTATACAAGTACACTCAGTTTTACTTGTATAAAGTATAAACCTGGTAAAGACTCTTAAATTAAAGCTTTTGTTTGCTTTTACTTCACAGCATGATGTTAAATACACTTCATCAATGGGTGTGTACAAGGTTCACTGTTCAGCTATTGTACAATGGACCATGTTGTGTTGTCCTGTTTTGGAGTTTTGCAAGACGACCAAATAAATAAGACCAACATATTTTTTCAAGCTTATGCCATGGTGTGGCGTCTGTCGTCCGGCGTCAAGATTTTACTTCAAGCTGGCATGAAGGGCTACCAAGTTTGTTCAAATGAATGAACTTTGTCGCTATTCAATGTCACAGGGGTCAATTGTCTTAAAACACCTTAAATGACTTCTTCTGAATAACAAAAATGTCCAGAGGGATGATATTTGGCCAGTAGCATGCTAAAACGAAAGGCTACCAAGTTTGTTCAAAGGTATGACCATCACCAATATTCAAGGTCACAGGGGTCATATATTTTGAAATCTTGAACGACTTCTGAATAACTAAAAATGTCCAGGGTGAAGATATTTGGTCAGTAGCATGCTCAGATGATCATGAAGGGCTATCAAGTTTCCATGTGAATGATCTGGACACACTTTCAAGGTCACATTTCGTCATTTGTGTTTAAATCTTTAATAGTCATCTTCTCAATTAAGAAAAGGTATAGGGTGGCTGTATTTGGCAAGTTGTATTCTGGGATGAAGGGCTATAAAAAGTATTCAACTTATAATCAATGTCCTTGTTTAACTTTCAAAGTCACATGGGTCAAATGTGTATACTTTTTTAACAGTTTCTTTTGAATGACTGAGTCAAGACACTGATATTTTGCCTTTAGCTTTATTTTTATTCACTTTTAAGGTCACAATTGTGAGCTCAATAAATACCAGGTGAGCAATGCAGGCCCATTGGGCCTCTTATTTAGGTATTCATATTACAACTACATGCGTGTATAATGAAAACCCGGATTTTCTTTACTGTTAATAATGCGACACATTTACCATAGTTAAAAGCTGTGTTGAAGAAAAATTACAATAAAATTGTAATACTGCTTCATAGATAATAAAAATCTTATGTTTTTACTGATAACGGTCTTGTTTTTGTGATGTCAAAGTGATGCTCTGCAGTAGTATATATCTCGGTGATGTAGCGATTCAGCAACATATGGTATACATGTACTCATATATGGATTTCAGGAACCAAGAAACATTTCACCTGTAGTTTGCTACAACTTTATATGGAGCCAGGAGTTTTAATGACTTATTATCAAGCCTCCAGTTTGCTGGAGTAGAGAGTTGGCTCAAACAAATGACCATGGCCTATTTTCGGCATTTCAAGGATCTAAATATTCTCAAGTTACAGAAACACAATCACAATACATTGAATTGCTTTCAATGTCACCATGTCATATATCGTTTTAAAAATGTCCTGGTACGACATCTGTCAAGAAGGTCACATATTTTCATTAAGACTCCCTAGCCATCTGCACTATGGTTTTCAGCTCACCTGCCACGTGTTCGTTGACCGTCATCCATCATTCGTCCTTCAACTTTTTCTTTGAATAACTAATTAAGAACTGGAAGGCCTAGGGTCATGATATTTGACTAGTAGGCACCTGGGATGGAGTGCTATAAATTTTCCTTAAATGAATGACATTGACCTACTTTCAAGGTCACAGGGGTCAAATAAGTAAAAACCTTTAAAGAACTTAAACTGAATAACCAGGAGGCCTGGAGTGATGATACTTGACCAGTAGGTACCTTGCATGGAGTGCTATAAAGTTTCCTCAAATGAATGACCTTGACCGACTTTCAAGGTCAATGGCATCAAATATAAAAAGCTTTAAACAACTCCTGCATAACCAGGAGGCCCTTTGTGATGATATTCTGACTAGTAGCATACTCATGATCAGTGACTGGGATAGAGTAGTATAACTTTTCCTCCAATAAATGACCTTGACCCCTACTTTTAAGGTCACAGGGTCAAATGTGTAAAAATGTTTAAATAACTTCTTCTGATTAACAAAGAGTACCAGAGTGATAATAGTTGGCCAATAGCATGCTGGGAAAAAGTAGTACAAAGTTTCATCAAAGAGATGACCTTGACCTACTTGACCAAATTTAATATGAAATATCCTTTGACAAAGGCTCCTCAAAGTGCAGCAGCTCAATAGAGCTAACGAGAGAAAATTCTTTAAATTTCTTTAAATTCCTCCTCCTTCAGTATGGACTGAGTGATCTCAATCATTTAGTCTGGAACATTCTTAAGCCAAGGAAACTCAATGAGTGAAAATATTTGCAAAATTACTTCGAGAACATTTTCCCATGACTCCTTGAGCGATACAGGCCCTCTGGGCCTCTTGTTAGACCACCATCATTAGATGGTGGGCTAGTTAAATCACCCTTCACCCACCATCTAGATCTGTCTGTCCATCCTTAAACAATTCTTCCAAAGTATTAGAGGTATTTTTCTCAAATCCACATGAAGGTTCCCTCTTTTTGGACTGATCAGAAAACAAAGGTGACAGGTGGCCATCTTGAATTCTGAGTTTGTTACAAAATAGTACAGGGCATGTACATGGGAACCGTAGTGAACTCTACAGATTATTGACATAAATACAAAACAAAAGCAGAAACCACAACAATTTCTGAGATATTTAATGATGTCGGGGCACAATAATCTAATACACTGAATGTACAAATTTACACAATCATTAAGATCAGAATCTGATCACAACCAGATACACATGTATACTCTTACCTCGATCACTCCGATAACTTAAATAAATACACCAAATGATCAGCATTCAGTTGTAGAAAGGTATCGTAAAATGATTCAAGACAATGTGACATCAATCCACCAGTTTACATTAGTTATATACAGAAATTATCATGTTGATTCATACTCATCCGGTGACAACTTTACCTCGGTCATTCCTATATATAATAACAACATTAGTTTTTAATTGATCTACAATTATCACATATTTTACTTAAAATCAACATCATAAACATGTATAGCAGTAAGGATCACAGCACATTACCATGTATAATATCAGAACTGAGACTTCAGTGTTTACTCTTTAATATCGGATCACAAAACTGGTTTAACTCATTCACCCCTGAAGACTCATTTGAACTCCTCCAATTCAAAGGTTGGAATAGTTCATTATGAAATTTCAAGGGTGAACAAGTTACAGGCCTCTGTTATTACAATGATCCCAATGAAGTGTACAGAAATCGTAACAAGCTGTGGAACAAGTCTAATAAAATTAAATCTGTTTTCATAACTCAAACTTAGTCACATATCTCCATAAAATAATGCCCATATTTAAATTATGATGCATATTACATTAGATCACACTGATTCTGTCACAAAAGTTTGTTGTTCAATTTTTCTACCACAGATACTTATAACAAGTAACGTACTCATGTTGTACAGCGATAAGCATATCACTTCACATTCTTTGTAACTAAACCTAGTTTAAAATTTCAGGAATCTGTCCTATATTCCTGGACTTAACCAGTGTCACTGTTGATATGGTGTCATTGTTACTATGGTGTCGCTGTTACTATGGTGTCATTGTTACTATGGTGTCGCTGTTACTATGGTGTCACTGTTACTATGGTGTCACTGTTGTTATTGTGTTACCTATAAGTTTCTCAGGGTGACAAATAAAACACTGATAATTACTACATAGTGTGCATATCTCCTATTTTTGAAAACTGGTCAATAAATTAATCCATACATGTTTTATCTTCCACAAACTGTATTTAGATTCACAGGTAACAATAATTAGCATTTCAAAACACTGTAAGCATTTCTGACCAGCTGATCCTATGAAGTTGTGGATGANTACTATGGTGTCACTGTTACTATGTGGTCACTGTTACTATGGTGTCGCTGTTACTATGGTGTCACTGTTACTATTTGGTCACTGTTACTATGGTGTCACTGTTACTATGTGGTCACTGTTACTATGGTGTCACTGTTACTATGTGGTCACTGTTACTATGGTGTCACTGCTGTTATTGTGTTACCTGTAAGTCTCTCAGGGTGACAAATAAAACACTGATAATAACTACATAGTGTGCATATCTCCTATTTTTGAAAATTGGTCAATAAATTAATCCATACATGTTTTATCTTCCACAAACTGTATTTAGATTCACAGGTAACAATAATTAGCATTTCAAAACACTGTAAGCATTTCTGACCAGCTGGTCATTAGAAGTTGTGGATTTTCTGACCAGCTGATCCTTAGAAGTTGAGGAGGGTGCACCAGGCATTTCTGACCAGCTGATCCTTAGAATTCGAAGTTGTGGATGGTGCACCAAGCATATCTGACCAGTTGATCATATGATGTTGTGGATGGTGCACCAAGCATTTCTGACCAGCTGATCCTTAGAAGTTGTGGATGGTGCACCAGGCATTTCTGACCAGCTGATCATTTGAAGTTGTAGATGAAGTACCAGGTATTTCTGACCAGCTGATCCTTAGAAGTTGTAGATGAAGTACCAGGTATTTCTGACCAGCTGATCATTTGAAGTTGTAGATGTTGCACCATGAATAATGACAAGTAAGCACTTCAACAGATCATACTATAAGTCTGGGATTTTATCTTTTATAGCTTTAAGCTGCAAACAAAAAAGAAAAACATTTAAATATGATTACCCCCGGTATTAAAATAGAAAAAAAACAGAAGGAATAAGTGTTTATGTTATGCTTAGAAACGAGTTTGGTCCATCAGGGTTTCAGTAAAGTTTATCACAATAATTAGAGACTGTACAATTTCATGTATTTATGGACTAAATATTGGAAAATATTATTATTTTTACCTCTTTTTCAGCATGTTTGATTTTATTGAGCATCATCTGAGCCTTGTGCATGTCTCCTCCTTTGGTGTAATGACGAGCTTCTTCCTCGTAGGCCGGTATCTCCTGTTCTACCTGCTGGACATATGCTGAAACACACAGGGCAGATAGGGCCTAGTTATAACCTGTAGACAGTTCTAAATGGGGACTAGTTATAACCTGTAAACAGTTCTAAATGGGGACTAGCTATAACCTGTAAACAGTTCTAAATGGGGCCTAGTTACAACCTGTAAACAGTTCTAAATGGGGCCTAGTTACAACCTGTAAACAGTTCTAAATGGGGCCTAGTTATAACCTGTAGACAGTTCTAAATGGGAATTAGTTATAACCTGTAGACAGTTCTAAATTGGGACTAGTTATAACCTGTAAACAGTTCTAAATGGGGCCTAGTTACAACCTGTAAACAGTTCTAAATGGGGACTAGTTATAACCTGTAGACAGTTTTAAATGGGGACTAGGTATAACCTGTAAACAGTTCTAAATGGGGACTAGCTATAACCTGTAAACAGTTCTAAATGGGGCCTAGTTACAATCTGTAAACAGTTCTAAATGGGGACTAGTTATAACTTGTAAACAGTTCTAAATGGGGACTAGTTATAACCTGTAGACAGTTCTAAATGGGAACTAGTTATAACCTGTAGACAGTTCTAAATGGGGACTAGTTAACCTGTAGACAGTTCTAAATGGGGACTAGTTATAACCTGTAGACAGTTCTAAATGGGGCCTAGTTATAACCTGTAAACAGTTCTAAATGGGGACTAGTTATAACCTGTGGACAGTTCTAAATGGGGACTAGTTATAACCTGTAGACAGTTTTAAATGGGGACTAGTTATAACCTGTAAACAGTTCTAAATGGGGCCTAGTTATAACCTGTAAACAGTTCTAAATGGGGACTAGTTATAACTTGTAAACAGTTCTAAATGGGGACTAGTTATAACTGTTCAACAATTAACTGGGGCCTAGTTATAACTGGTCAACAATTAACTGGGGCNCCTGTAAACAGTTCTAAATGGGGACTAGTTATAACCTGTAAACAGTTCTAAATGGGGACTAGTTATAACTGGTCAACAATTAACTAGGGCCTAGTTATAACTTATCATAGGACAAAGACCAGCAATACTTAATTAAATAAACAGCATAGGCCATTGGTCATTTAAAACAAAAGAGAATATGCACTATAATCTTACTCTTATAATCTGGAGGTGTAGATTCAAGAACGAAAACATTTGAATCAAGAGAGGTTTACAGTTCCTGTGGCGAAAGTTAAACGGAACACATGATGATGGGTTGATCTTTATAATCTTCCAACAGCATTGTAAGCTGAAGTTGTCCGATAGGATTTATTTGATGAACGTGGTTAAATGACCAAACATTTCCAAAAACGAAGCATCATGATCACATAACAGCTGACTTACACCAGATTGGACAAAATGCAATGAATATACAGGGGCGGGTCCAGGTGAGGGCGTAATGGGCGTACGCCCTCCCCCCCCCCTTTTAAAAAAAAACAACAACAAAAAAACTCTTTTCAAAAAAAAAAAAAAAATATATACATGCTACAAGCCAGGAACCGTTACATTAGTGCATTTCGCAATTATTTTATGTTTTTTAGCAAAAAAAAGGTCCATTTTTTTTCTTTCTACACCCCCTCTTTCAAATATCCTAGAAACGCCCCTGATATAGATCCATATAACAGAAAGTGTCAAACAAATTAATCTACAGGAAAGTAATGGTGAAAATGATTAAATTTCAGAGAATTAGAAAAGCTGAAGGAACCTAGAATTTATTATTACCAAATTTAAAATAAATTTGATCAAATTGTACAAATGAAAACGTTGATACGAAAAGGCTTTTCAAGCACCGTCTAATTGCAGACCTGACATTACATCACCATCAGATACATGTAGCCTTAGTCCTGACATTGTAAATACTTAAATGTACCAGAGAGTACAATTTTAATTGATTGGGACCTACATCCATCTGAGCCAAAATATTATATTTTATGTGTTTTCGTTGACGACGTACACACTGGTGTCAGGTGTGTTCATGTTTGAAATAATTAATGTTTACACATGATCTGCAACATCTCTGGTTATCTGCCCCCTCTTTTATGCAAAATCGACCAAAATCACACCTTTAAAAGTATTTCAGTTTCAACAGCTCTGACAGGTACTTATGTGTATACATTTTATCTATAGAACGTTAAATTGTATACTTCACACAGCTTGTTCATGCTTAACCCTTTCACCACTGTAAACCATGATGAATTCATCTATATCGATGCATGGTAGAGTCTACTTAAGTTACATAGGGGTGAACAGGTTACTAATGTTTATTGTTGTGCTACCTCTGAGGGCTGCCTTTCCTCCTTTTTTCAGTTCTGCCTGCTTCTGGTCCATCTTTTGAGTCAACAGTTGACTTTTATTTTGCAGGGATTTAAGCTGGTCTGTGCTAAGACGATCTCGTAGACTATTAATCTGCAAAGTTAAAATATGTTCATTATTTTCCCCAGGAATACAGGTTGATGTTTTTGCGTCTCATTTTTTGCAATTTCACAGAACAAAATGCCTTTATTTGGTTAAAAATGATGTAAATTAATAAATAAAAAAAAAAATATGATAATAAAAAAATCTTATCTCATGAATTTGACAAAACACTGTCCCTAAACCACAGCTTCCACTTTTATTTATGGTTTCTCCACTGGTTGGACTTGTCGAAAAAGATTTATTCTTCTATGAAATAAGACTTCTTAATTTGTGAAATAATGACCGACCTAACAAATGAGATCAGCTGATACAGCTTTATGTACCTGCCTATATTAAATCACACTGCCACTTCACCTATTGTGTAAGAAGGTTTGATCAGATCGTGTAGAACAGCAATGTTACATGCGTCCAAACACATAGAGGTAATTATACTGCGTACCTGAAGATCCAGCTGTTGTTTCTCGAACCTCAGCACCTCAATACACGTAGAACCACTGTAACAGGAAACATGCTCATAGTAAGTAGGGGTGTCACAATATGCAAAGAGTGTATCACGATATATTGCAATACAGAATGAATATATTGCGATATGTATCCCGATATGTTGTCTTTAAGGAAGGATGTGCTCAATTTTATAATAAGTTGTTATCAGAATGTTATCAAACTTAATCATATATAATAATATGGAATACATAGATTTAAGATTTTTTTGTCAAAACAATCATCGATTTCAAAGATCGAACTATTAAAAGCCTGCTTTATGCTTATTGGTATATGTCTGTGAGAATTTGTAGTAATTTGCAAAAGTTAAAACAACAAGCAGATACATAAAAATATGCTTTTAAAAAATATTGAGAACAGCAATATTTTATATCTGTATTGTGGTACGATACAATATGCCCGTGTATTGTGATATACCTGGTTTTTTTTATATATTGTGACAGCCTTAATAAAAAGGACTTCTGTGATCACCATAATAGAGGCTTAACAGAGACAGGTATGAATTATGCAAAGTTATAGAGGTTTAATTGATATAGAATGGGCACTGATCAAAATTTCTTTGTGGGCAATGTATAATATACTATGGAGAATTCCTGTGATTGTATGGAAGCATGCTATAAACAGCCCGAGTCCGTATTCATAAAACCATTCTCATGCTCAAGCATGGATTTTGTGCTCAAGTCTATTATTTTTTGTTTTACAGGAATTATTTTTTTAAATTTATAACAAAATGTTATTTTGTCAAAGAGACTTAAAGCCAAATACTGTTTTTAATGTTTAGATTTGACTTTTTGATTGTTTGACATGATTTAAGCAAGTTACAAGAAAGTTGGATTGAGCACAAAATCCATGCTTGATCATGAGAATGAATTCATTAATACTGCACCATGATGTTCATGTCTGTGATGTGACCCTAACCATCAGAGAAAGGGTTTCTAAAGCCAATATGTGTGTAAACATGAAAAGTTTGTGGATATTTTCCTTTCTAATTTGACACTTTTTAGATTGTTTCATGGTATAAACTTTGATGGATCTACCACATATCAAACAATGTCTGGAACTAGTTTTTACCAGGACAACCAATGTCTGGGACTAGTTGTTACCAGGACAACCAATGTCTGGAACTAGTTGTTACCAGGACAACCAATGTCAGGGACTGTAACCAGGACAACCAGTGTTAGGGACTAGTTGTTACCAAGTCAACCCATGTCTGGGACTAGTTGTTACCAAGTCAACCCATGTCTGGGACTAGTTGTTACCAAGTCAACCAATGTCTGGGACTAGTTGTTACCAAGTCAACCAATGTCTGGGACTAGTTGTTACCAAGTCAACCAATGTCTGGGACTAGTTGTTACCAAGTCAACCAATGTCTGGGACTAGTTGTTACCAAGTCAACCAATGTCTGGGACTAGTTGTTACCAAGTCAACCAATGTCTGGGACTAGTTGTTACCAAGTCAACCAATGTCTGGGACTAGTTGTTACCAAGTCAACCAATGTCTGGGACTAGTTGTTACCAAGTCAACCAATGTCTGGGACTAGTTGTTACCAAGACAACCAATGTCTGGGACTAGTTGTTACCAGGTCAACCAATGTCTGGGACTAGTTGTTACCAGGACAACCAATGTCTGGGACTAGTTGTTACCAGGACAACCAATGTCTGGGACTAGTTGTTACCAGGACAACCAATGTCAGGGACTGTTACCAGGACAACCCATGTCTGGGACTAGTTGTTACCAAGTCAACCAATGTCTGGGACTAGTTGTTACTAAGTCAACCAATGTCTGGGACTGTAACCAGGACAACCCATGTCTGGGACTAGTTGTTACCAAGTCAACCAATGTCTGGGACTAGTTGTTACCAAGTCAACCAATGTCTGGGACTAGTTGTTACCAAGTCAACCAATGTCTGGGACTAGTTGTTACCAGGACAACCAATGTCTGAGACTAGTTGTTACCAAGTCAACAAATGTCTGGAACTAGTTGTTACCAGGACAACCAATGTCTGAGACTAATTGTTACCAGGACAACCAATGTTAGGGACTAAATGTTACCTGGACAACCAATGTCTGGGACTAGTTGTTACCAGGACAACCAATGTCTGCCAATGTAGCTGTAACCAGGACAACCAATTTCTAGGACTGTAACCAGGACAACAAATGTCTGAGATGTAACCAGGATAACCAATTTCTAGGACTGTAACCAGGACAACCAATGTCTGTGACTGTAACCAGGATAACCAATTTCTAGGACTTTAACCAGGACAACCAATGTCTGTGACTGTAACCAGGATAACCAATGTCTGGCACTTGCTTTTACATTATTTTGATTAAACATGCATTTATTTCTATAAAATGGAAACAAATAAACACTTTTAAATTTAATATTTTAATTCATGCATTTAAAATACACAAAACATAAATGATGATTGATTATCATCAATTGCAAGGTAATTGAGCAAAAGACTGAAACACTGGTAGACTTTTGTTTACGATTTCATACACACATCAGCAGTGTTATATTGCAACTTCAAGTTACGCTGCATAATACGTACATCACTAGTTTGCAAAAATAGAAGGTAATCAATTAAATCCATAATAAATTATCAATGCAGGACGGTAGATGGCATTGATATGCAGTGGAAATGTATGCCAAAACTCCAGTCAAATTTTTTGTAATAAAATATGTTTAAGCAAGAAACTTTAATTTTGTTTCCCGTATTACTAGGTACAATGTATTCATATTAGGAGTATATTTCAACCCTAACTTCACACATCATATTTTTAAACATACATTTTTAGCTGATGGGTTACACCCATCTACTACAAATTAATTATTTTGTCATTAACAACATTAATTTCATGACGTACACAAAAGGAATGTGATTAAAACATTCAGAAGATATTCTGATGATTGTTTAAACATGTATATACTTTTGCGTATATACCAGGGAGGTAGCCAATTGCAAGGCAGGCAGCATATATATAAATCATAAAATAGGAAAATGGACTAGACCTTGTCGGGGAAATACCTAATTAGTGGGATAGTTTAATATAAATCTGTTTAAACTCTTAAAAGAAATAAAGCAGAAATATAAAAATAAATGTATAAAAGTTCAAATAAAACACTGCATAGAAGAGAACATCATATTGGAGCAAGAAATATATTGGGTATCTGTAAACAGAACAAAGTTGTGGAATACAGGATAAAAGTTAACGAAGTTAAAGCTTCCATCACTGGGAACAATCCTAACACAAACGGTTAGAAACCATATCACTAACATCAGCTAGGTGTAAAAGGAAATACAACTAGACATTTGATTTTGGAAACAAAAACATGTCTCCCCTTTAAACTTTGCACTTATTTGACCTTTGACCTCAAGGTCAAGGTCACAGTGACCCCACGACAGTGCACTGAACATCCTCTTTTGGTGTTGCAGATATACTGCATGCAAGTTTCATCAGGATATTATTAACTTAGCACTTATTTGACCTTTGACCTTGAGGTCAAGGTTACAGTGACCTAACGACAGTGCACTTTACATCATCTGTGAGTGATGCAGATCTACTGCAAGTTTGATCAGGATATCTTTAACTTAGCACTTATTTGACCTTATTATTTGAGGAACTGCCTACTACTGCTAAATTATAAATTGATATACATATATGAATAATAGTTATAATTGTAATGGGGACCATTACAGAAGTCCTTAAAAATTATGCTTGGATAGAGTGTACAATGCCATCATATAATTGCATACAAAGTCTTAAACGTAATTAGAGGGACCGTAGACATCATCTTTTTTTGACAAGATGTTCCTGAAAAATTTGCACATATTTGACCGTTGACTTTGGGGTCAAGGTCACAATGACCTTGCCACAGTGCACTGCACATCGTCTATGGGTGGTGCAGGTATTTTTCATGTTTCATCAAAATATCTTTAACAGTTAAAAAGTTACAGCCTGGACAAGATCATATTAGAAGAACCAGTACTAATACAATATGTCTCCCTTCATTCAAAGGGGAGACATAATTAGCGACAAAAAAATCATAATATCATAACTTAACATAACAACCAGGGTGGAATCATACTGACATACAGGGTACAAAAATAACAACTTAATAGGTAGTATTATAATTTTATATAATACTTATAACGAGGGCTATAATCATAATCATATACAACAATTAGGTTGGTATCAAAACTACACAACAAAAAAGACAGTACGATGTAATATATATAACAGAATAGTAAAAATTATCACAGGGAGAAAAACTATAACTTTGGACGGATAATAAATGTTATAAAATTGTCTTTCATCTGAAGCATTAATCCTCTGGCTCTTAATGTTTAGATCATGATCACATATTAGTAACAACAGGAGGGTGGAGACCCAACGTCCCTGCAAGGAAGTCAGTTCCATAGTGGCGGTAGGGATCCTGGGGGTGATCCTTGGGCGGATATCTGAATGGTATTCAACAGTGCTCATCAGGGAAAGCAGAGCAAATGAAAATAGAAATGTGAACAGTAAACTGTGCTCTGAAGACGGCCTCCCTTTGGCCGAAACATGTCAGCACGTAGGATGTAAATCAAACATTACATTTTGTACCGGATTCAGTGGTGTTGTTGCTCATCATTTCTATTTTCATTTGCTATGATCACATATTGTTAGGTTAATAGATTCCTCTTCTCTGTATGACCCCTGACCCCTCCATGCTCAGCCAATGAACTTTTGAGACAATCAGGTGATGGAACAAATTGGGCTGCGAGAGAAAAAAAAGAAACGTTACCAAAAGGTAATGAACAAAAAATTGCCATTGGAAAAAGAATCTTTGATTTTCATAATGTGAATTCCTTTAGCCCATATTGAAAAAGTTTTAATGAAAATCAATGACTGTCTCAAAAGTTCAACGATTTCAGCATTAGTAACCTGATTCATATTATAGTTCAGATCAATTTTAACTGTCTCTTGATTTTCATGGGAAACTAATTATATAAACGTTTTCAATTGCAGTATATTTTGTACCATTTACTGGTTAAAACATGGAGGAAGGAAAAGAAGCATCGATTTTAAAGAGACTAAAACTGGGGCTTATGTAGATACTTCAGACACCATATACTTCCTGCCCCATATTATGGCCTTGAACAACTAATTGCCAAAAGACATCCAAGACTTATTCAAAAGTAGCTGCTAAAATAAACATCTACTGGCTTAGTGTCTCCTTATTTGGAATTATTCATCCTGTCTTAAAGTGTCTTATACATAAGATTAAAGATTTTAAAACAGACAATTAATGTGATTTTTAAATTTGACTTATGACCTAGAAAATAGTTCTTGAAATTAGATTTAACTGCGAAAACTTGTATTACACTGTATTGGAGATGGAGATCAAGGTCAAAGGTCAAAATGTGGTCACAGTAACCTTTTTACAGGGTAGAACACACTGCCTTCCGGTGATGTACCTATATACAAAGTCTGATGTCAATTCCTCAAATAGCAGCTAAGATATGCTCTGGAAATTATTATTTTAGTACTTGAGGTTCAGCTCAAATGTCAAAATAAGGTCACAGTGACCTCATTTAAGGTTGTACTGGACACCACCTTCCCGTGATGTACTTATATACAAAGTTTAATGCCCATTCATGATCATGAAACAGAGGCTGAGATATGCTCCGGAAACAATTATTTTAGTTCTTGAGGTCAAGGTCAAAAGTCACAGTGACCTAGTTTTAGAATGCAACACATCACCTTCCCATGCTGCACCTATATACAAACTTGGATGCCCATTTGTGAAACAGAAACTGAGATATACTCTGGAAACCAGAGTGTGAAAGGATGACAGGACGGATGCCCGAACAGATGAAGCAAATATATACCCCAAACTTTGGTCAAGGCGGGGTAAAAAAAAATATCACAGACTTTATGCTCACAGTAATGCTAATATTTGATAGATAAAGACGGAAATTTACACACAGGATACTGTCAATATTTGATACCAAAACAAGGAAGTTTACAGAGGGTTCTGATACTATTGGATACCTAAACAATGATCAAGGACCCTTATACAATGTACATATATCGCCTCAGTTAACGTTTCCGTTGTCGTAGGTAACAGCTTAGAGGTAACATTGTGTCCTGCTGTCGTTTGGTATCTACTTAAACTTAAAATTTCACTCACGTGCATTGATATTATGTGGGAATGTTTATTTTCGTACCTAGCTTTTCCAAATAAAAAGCATGCTTTAATTTCCCCTAATCAATTTCTCTCTACCAACTAGCTACCATCACCAATGTACAGGATACATGTTGATAATATACAGTATTTATATATACATATAATGAGGATCTTACCTTTTCACCGGCGGTGTTGGGGCCTGAAAGAAAATAAAACAGATTTAGTATTGTAACTAAAATTACTGTCTTTAAGTAATCAGGATATAGTAGTATTTCTTTTAGACACTGCATCAACCTGTAACTTTTAAATCAAATAAAAAAAAAAATCATGCATCAATAAATTTGTGAAATATCACAATTTTTTTTCATTCAAATAAACTATGAAAGCAGTTAACTGTACTAAAAAACCTAAGTAATTACTAGATATATTCTATCTATCTAATTACATGTTTGAAAAATAATGATAATGAAAAAAGTAAATATTTTCAAACATTTGGGGGGGATATAATTTGATTCTGTTTCCAACTCTTTCCAAAGTGTGATCTCTGAATTATGAACATAGACAGGATTGACATACCTTACTCTATCAAATATGAAAGAACACATGAACACATGTACTCATTACCATTGTTGTAAAAGCTGTGCAGGCCATGGTAGGGATTTAAATTATTTATTACCTTTGTCTATATACTTGGTACTAAACTATGGTGTATCATAATGTACATTTCTATTAGATTAATTATATGATTATGATAAATGTAATTTGTATGTTAAATTATGATAATATCTATATATTATTTATTATCATATTAATATTATTGATTGTGTAAAATAATATTTTACAAATTGATAATGTAGTATGAACATTACTGTTAAAGATAGCATAATTTGTATGTTACTAGCTATTACATCATTATAATTATAATAATAAATGTCTTTGTACATACAATTTATGGGAATAATAACAATTTTTTTTAGTGTATCACTAGTATATAAATGATAGAAATGTGTTATATTTTGATGATTACTGTTATATGATTATGCTAATGTTTTGTATATACTACTATGATATAATTATAATAATTAATTTTTATCTTACCAGTGTATAAATCATAACTTAAACTGTCATCCGGAGGATAACTAACCCACCCCGCAGATGATGGTAGTTTACACATCATTTAGTGACCTTAACCTTTGGGTCAACTTACTGAAATGGGAACTCGTTCGAGATATTTTAACTCTTTACATATTTTCCACATGTTTTATGGACAAGTTATTTTGTATAAAGGGCCGTAACTCCCTTAAAAAGTGTTGAGATCAGAAATTAAAATGCCGGTGCACAACTACATAATATACTGATAATTCAAGTGAAGTTTCAATAAAATCTGCCTGTCAGTTTAGGTGGAGTTTTCCAGACAAGTTACTGCAGACGACATCCCGACTGCAGACAGAGAGGGTGATTCCAGTATTCCCCTCCTAACTTCGTTGCGGAAGGTATAATGATATATTTTTTATATTAGTCTAATATAATTAAGAAAAATTACTAAAATTTAAAACTACTATAGTTTCATCATTGTGATAATGGAAGCAGTAACAGTCTATATGATACTGTAAAGCTTAGAAAAGTGTGAAAAATTATACAAGTATTACCTAAGGTAAATCACTTAATAACAACAGGCCCATGGGGCCTGTTTGCTGAATTGTTATTCAAGGTAGAATGTATCACTGTATCAGTTTTAACTGCGAAGAAGAGACCCACTCTAGAGGGTTTTTTGACTTGGAGTATTCTGTCCACTACATAGAAACTGAAGTAACCAAAAGGTGATTTTCTGGCTTTGAGTTACTTCCCCTATCAAGCTTTTCATATGCTTTGTGGCCCACAAATAGGGCACTCATTTTAATTCTTTAATTCATTTTTATAATTCCTGTACTACACCATTGGTAAGTGTAGGCTTTGTAATGTAAAGTTTCACAGTTCAAACCCTGCAGTTTTCTTGTTTTCTTTTTTATTTCTAATTTTGATCACTTAAATAGCAAACAACTACAATTTTGTCAAATGCATGGCAATATCTCGGGTTTTTTTAGGAAACATTTCTTTTGAANTTCTGACAACCTAAATTTTTTTTGTGGCAGAAAATTTTCTTTACTTTCAAGCAATATAACTACAAAATTTGAAGAAATTCTACAGAGAAATGGTGACACAATCCTATTACCTTAAGGTGAACTGCTAATATCATTCAATCTTAGATTAAATCAATTAACTGAGCAACGATGAAATAAAACAACCATCATATAACCTCGATATCATTACATGTACCATATATATGTATCAAAGAACTTTTAGAAAAACTTCAAAAAGAAAAAGCTGTGCACAAAGGCATTTTTAACCAGTTTGACTTTATTACATGTATTTATATATAGTATGTAAAAACTTTCCTTTTTTTCAACAATTATGAAATTAGTTTTTCAAACATTTCTGAATCATTCTTGTCCAAGATGGAAGTGCACAGATGGTCTTTATTTAGGAGGAAACTGGAGTACCTGAAGACAATACACAAAGTTGTGTAGGTGACCCAATACCATTTCAAATCTGATGGGGAGTCGAACTCCAGCTGTGCTGGTGAAAGGTTAGTGTGCTATTTACTGTGCTAACAGACCACGCAAATATAAGTTTGATCTCTTTAACTCTGTGACCTTGAAAATAGGTTAAGGATATTTTTTTAACCTTGCAGTACTACAATCCTAGGTAGCTACTAGCCAATGTTGTGATCCAAGGCATTCCAGAACTTCAGAGGAACATGTCTGAAGATTTAAACCTATAACTGCCCCTGTTGAATTTTGACCGAGATGCATTCTGAAATGACCTTTGATCTCAACACAAAATTACCAAAAAAAATGTCCATTGCCTGATCTCACCAAACACTAAAGAATCATGGCCCTAAACTTCAGGATATTTCAGACAATGCTGTTTGAAGTTTTCAACATTTAAGACCTTTGTGACCTTGAAATTAGGTGACGGTTATTTCTGTGAGGAAAATTAATAGCACTCTATCTTGGTGGTATGTAACGCCTAAATTTCACAATGCTGGTCCTTATAGAATTTTAAAAGAAAGGCATTTAAATTTGTATAGCCATAATAGCTTATGTTGGCCTTTGAACCCAGATAGCTCTCGAAGTTGACCTTTGAACTTAACGGTGACCTCAAGGTCATTATTAAGAAACTTATTATCACTCCATCCACTCTGAGTTGTCTTACAAAAAAGAAAGAGTTATAAATTAGTACACATAGGAATAGATGACTCTTCTCTCTTGTAACATCCTTTTCTATCCCTTTACTAAAAAAACATACGTAAACAATTTTACTAATTTTCCAATCTTTTCTTCGTCTGCTGGAAAACCGAACTACTCGGTAGTGGAGCGGACATAAATCCACTCAAACAACGAACAAACAAACAAACAAACACTCCATCCAAAGCACATAATGGCAAAAAGGTTTAAATCTGGGCCAAGCCAGATAAAACACTACATGTTACAAACCTTAGAAATTAAAGGGGTCATTAAGTGCAAAAAGAAGTTGGGTAGACAGCTATGATGCTTTTTTGTAAATTTGGTTTGTCATTGAGTACAACGAGAGAAGAATGAGTTAGACTGTTAGTACATATAGGTGACTAGAACTAAAACACCTTGTCTTGTCTCACCTGTGTCTTCCCCCGTCTCCCAGACTACACATCAACACGAAAAACACAATTAAATCACAGACAACAGATAGGGTTCTCATGCTTTGTGAAGTAGACACAACTACGAGTTACAGCTTCAATTAAATTTGTGATACATGCATAACAGCTATATGTATCTGGCTTGACAATACAATGAAGCCAGATATTTCTGAGGAAACATGAATGAAATCATTATTGAATTTCATGAAATTATGAATATAGCATATAAAAAAAAAGCTGTTTACGCTTTAGGAGTATGGGCACACCTCATAGCAGACAAAATTAATTTCATGTAAAATGACCCAACATTACAGCATTCAGACAGAATATCAGTCTGGAGTAAACATCATCTACACGGTCATATTACTCACCCCTGATGCAGAGTTGAGGGTCCTGAGGAACTGGTCAATGACTAGCCATTTCTCCTTTGTTTCCTCAACCTGCTTACTCTTTAGCGGGTCCCTAATCCGGATCTTAACCTCCAGCTTGCCTCCAGCGGCCTTGCGTCCATCCATCAGGTCATGACTTTCATGGTAAGTACACTTCGAGTCGAGAGGGAGTAGTTTCACGTTACATGTACCTATCAACTTGTCTCCCTTGAAGAAGCTCTTCTTCTGAAACACTTCAAATTTGACTGACTTTCTCTCCACCACCCGGCCAAATCCTCGCGACTTTCTACTTATCTGTAACTTCCATGGTTCATTGTATTCTGAAACAAGACCAGGATTATGTCAGTCAAACACAACTGTACTATGACAGAACTTCATGTCAATTTAGTGAAGCAGTATGGGAAGACTTGTGTCAGTTATAAGCCAAGCAATATGACGTGACCTTAAATACAGTTGTTTACACGCGTCAGATGAAATGTCAGTGACATACTCATATTAATGATGCATCTTTCTTGAATGCAAAAAATCATCTACCTCGCAAAAAATAGCTCAGATTCGTTGTTATAGTCAATATAAACTCATTTACATTATTTTTAATGGTAATTATATTTAATGGTAATTATTTTTAATGGTAATTATATTTAATAATTCATTAAAGAAAGTTATGGAGGCTAGTTGTTGTAACGGCTGTATATCAAATTTGTACAACATTCTGACTTATCAAAACATGTAATATACAGCACTACACAAATCTAACAGCCACACACCTGGATTAACCGATCCTTTCACTGTGTCAGAACACCCTGTCTGTTGATCATCCTAAAATACAATATAAGCTGATGTACCATTCATGAGCTACACACTTTGGCAATTATATATTTTCATCAATGGGCCCCGAATTAATCATTAATATACATGTGTTATACCTACGTGTAAATGTATATATACCTTGTTAAATTGTGTCTGATCAAATATTAATGAGATATTGAGGAATTCTCTATTCTGAAGCTGACTTATAGTTATACAGCGCTCCAAAGTGATCTCTGTATCCTTAAAGACACTTTCAGAGTTAATAACGTAATCCTCTCTTTTCCATGGTGATGATGTTTGAGGAATGTAAAAACTCATTCACCCCTGAAATGTCATAATGCACTATTCCAACCTTTGAATTGGAAGAGTTCAAATGTGTCTTCAGGGGTGAATGTGTTAAAGGTGTTATGATATGAATCACATTAGATCTACATCAAGCCAGAACTGTTGCCAGAATGGCAGACTTGAACACCGGCCGGCGTCAAAAACTGTAAGAACACTTCTTCCAAGAATGTTTTTAAATATAAAGAGGTGTAATTTCAAAGTTAGAGAGGAAGCTTCAATCTAAATACTTTATTCACATCCCCTCCATATAAGGGTTCTGTGCACAAAGTATCATTTAATATAAATGTCTAGTTCCAGTTATCTCCCCTAACTATGTTACTGGATTTACATGTAAAATCAAGCAGTATTTATGGAACTGCATGAAAATGTTAATGTGGAAAAATAAAGTATATTTATATAAAATCATACTGAAGTACCAGTTATAGATTAAAATTTCAAAAGTACTAATATCAATTTCACATATCTCTGATTATCCAATTTAAAGGCTGATTTGAAATATAGATTATTGTGAAGTGATTTTAGAATTAACATTACTTTTTTTTGATACATATCATCTAAGCTGTTGTACATAGGAACTTACTGTAGGGTATGGAAATTCGTACTTCACATATGTGTCCAAGTCTTTTTCAGCATGACCTAGAAATAAAGTTTCATAAACTCAATAATACATCAGTATTATGCACTTTGGTAGCTGGTAAAATGCAATTTATCACATTGACTATGTATATAAGAAATTAACTTTAAGTCATTTGAAAATTAATTGAGATGTTGGTAAACTTTATTATAATGATGACTTAAGCAAATTTCTAAGTGGCACCCTATACCCTACAGAATCACATGTAGCACCAACTATCATAAGCATCATTACTTACTTGTAGGGAGCTGTATTCCTCTCACCAAGGTCAACTCCAAATCATTGTCTCCTAAATCTGTGTTACACCTAGAATAAATATAATTTCATTTAACCCTCTGTCCAAAGTCTACTCAAGATCATTGTCTCCTTAATCTGTGTTACACCTAAAATAATTAAGACTTCACACATTTGACACCTGTGACATAAACCATTGATCAAGGTCATAAATTCGGACAAACTTGATACTCCTTCCCACCAGCAAGCTATGGGCTTACTTTCGTTATTCTAGGACCACACTGCACTTTAGAAGTAGTTTGTAGATTTTAATACAAAAGTGTCTTGTTTAATTTAGCGCTATACAACAAATGTCATTACTCTAAGCTTTATGCCAAACAGTATTGCTCCAAGCCATATGAGAAATATCATTATCATCTATATACTGTAATACATTACACCACCTACTGGTAGCATTATAAATTCATTATCATGGGTTGTCAGAACGCAAAAACATTAGGAGAAGATGAGAATGACTTGATAACAATTTTAGAACAACTTGAGAATGGATTTCCCCATTTGGGAACATATTTTCTCCAAAAAAGACATCTGCTTGTACCAGTTGACATTCTGAACTGGAAATAGTAGCCACACAAATAAAAGGTGATCCACGTAAGAAAATAGTCTGTTATAAACAAATCAATATAAAATTAATACAAGTATCACTACTCTATGCTATACAATAACATTCATTACTCTAAGCTATATGATAAGTATCCTTACTCTAAGCCTTTTTGATAGTCATTAATTTGTAGATTTTAAGTTTTAGGAACTTCCACAGATTCTACTTACTGTACCAGCGAGAAAGTTCTGTTTTCGTAGTGAAACTTCGGAACAGGATCGTGATGTCTGAAGGCATTTTTTAACGCTTCTAAATCTTTCCTACATCCCTGCTCCATCTTTTGGAATCTGGACAAAACAAAAATCATAAGCCATTTAAAAATGGTATGATACTATAATCAAGATGAGTTTTAAATATCCATTCACACAATGAAGTCAACCAAACTATTAAAACTTCAATAAAATCATGTTTATTTTTAAAATTGTATCAACTTTGGTAATAAGGCCAAAAAAATATGTGTGTTTCCTGTTTCTGCTTGAAAAAAAATAGGGTTCATAGGCAGGCAATTTTTTTCTCTCAATATTTTTACTTTGCATGTACAGAGCATGAGTTCTGACTTCAACAGTACTGATCAGTAAATGCCAATAAAAACTTGAGCGTAGGTACAAAAATTTAGGGTCGCTAGGGAAACCGGAAACACCAATTTTTTTGTAAACATTGTGCAAAATATTTAAGGTTAACCTCCTCACATCTTATTTTACTTCCCCACACAGAGAAATTATACTAAGCTTGAAAAAGTTATCAACAATTTACCATGGTAGACAAATCAGAAATTATGATCATACGACAACTGAATTTTCTATCAATTTAAGATATAGGCATAACCTACTAAATATGATCCTGATTTTGATGGTACATGTACTTACTTTGCAGCATTTAACACATCTCCAAGTTTCGTGAAGTGCTGGTGATTACTTGCACTCATCTGTAAAAGAATTATCATAATATGAGGCAGATATTATCAAAGTTTTACTTTATACACAAAACAATGTACAAAATAAACGTGTCGCAACGTTTCCAGACCCACTGGTCCCTTTGTCAAGCTATGACTGAGTGAGCGATTTGTATTGTTTACCTGTACAACGATCAATAGACAAAATTGCATATTTCTCATGTCACTAGACCCTGGACATTTCGCCTACCAATAGATCGATTGATCGATCGACACTGTATTTAATAGGTGACTGGAATACAGTGTGAATACGCTCTTTCCATATTTCCAAACTGATGAATCTTATTGATGAGGCAGACATTTAGGTATTAACAATATGCATTTATTATTAACCCTTTCACCACTGCAGACCATAATGGACTCGTCCAGATCAATGCATGGTTGAGCCTACTTAAGTTATATAGGGGTGAAAGGGTTAATTAAACCCATTGAAAAGAACTCCTCTTGCAAATTAAAAGCTTTAATTGAAACTACCTCATTACTCATAGACTTTGTGGGAATTTTCTATTTAAGAATAATTTGGAAATTTGTCTGAGACCATGTAGCGTAATGCAGTATTTCACAAAAAGTTTGTTCCAAGGGAAAATAATGATTGGTCAATTTTTTTACTTAATAGAATTAACCATTTAACTATTCTATCACTGTTGCAAATTTCGATAATTATGATGCATTATAATGAATTAAATCATTTGTAAATAATCTTCCTCATCAATTATTTTCTAACATTAGGAGGTCTGAGTGTTTTACGCTACATAGCCACTATATACATACCCTGATTTGGTTGATGAGATCCTGCTCAAGTTTTTTGAAAATCTCGTTTCTGTCTCCTTTCACTTCACATTCATCTGCATTGACCATCACAAACGACCGCTCATCATCCTCAGTAAGGGAGGGGGGTATCTGTCAATTAAGGAAAACTTTTAGATACTTTGTCTTGACTTTGATAAACCCTGAAATAGATGCTGTACATGTGCAATAATTGGAAAATTGCTTCAAAGATTGATAAACAGAATCATTATAATGATGATATATACTGGTAATACTTGTACAACACGAAATGTTCGTGGGTACTTTCCTTCATGGTTTGAAGCCCTTTATAATAAGATCATTTGTGGTTCAAACTTTTGTGGACATCCTATATCAACAAACAGTAGACACGTATATCATTTAAAATTGTTGTATTTATTTTCGTGGTACAATCACAACCACGAAAACTACAAATGCTTATACACCACATTTCATGTTATACAGTATAAGCTTACCTTGAGGTGAATCTTACCTGAGACATGTCCACTGGCAGACCACTGTCAGCTGCGTCAATCATCGGTTCAAATCCCTGAACAAACAATTAATGCGAGACTTTTCAATCAATCATAGAAACAGTACAGATGGAAGCATCAGGTTTGAATTATTTCCTGTCGTAAATAAACAAAATGTATCCTTTTTTTTTTACTTCAGTAAATATCAACTCCCTCCCCAAGGTAGTGGTTGTATGTTGTTCCCCTTTCTTAGGAAGAACTGATAAACTGGGGATAAACAAATTTACGATCTAGATAAAGCACCTAATGACTTTTCCATCTATTAGGAGTATTTCATTCTACTACATTGTGTCTAGAGAAAAGATGTCTGACATTTTCAGCTTATTTTCATCTTTTTATATAAGCCTCTCCCCTTGGGCCCCGGGCCAGGGGTGGGTTTGAATCAGCAAGAAATAGTTGTGAACATTGAAGAAGTGGGACTAGCTAAATAGGAAACAATAGGGCCCAAAAATATAACATTTCACAGCATCGCAAACAATAGGACCCAAAAATATAACATTTCACGGCATGGCAAACAATAGGACCCAAAAATATAACATTTCACGGCATGGCAAACAATAGGACCCAAAAATATAACATTTCACAGCATTGTGAACAAACGTTTACATCACAAGAGGTTTACGAGACATTAACCAGGAAACTTCGCCCTTTACTAGTAGCCCGTACAAACCTTAGCTATTCTCTCGCCCTTTACTAGTAGCCCGTACAAACCTTAGCTATCCTCATGTATTTCTTGGCCAGCTCCAGGTCATTGCTTTTCTTGGCCTTGACAGCAGCTTGTCTGTACTCGTTCATCCGCTCTCTTAACAGATAGGCCTGCTGCTCAGCTCGCGAGGAAGGAGACTTCTTAACAGCTACATATTAAACAAGAAAGCAACATTATTAAAAACATTTATATACCCCCCGTTTTAATACCAAAGTATATCAGAGTTTTTGAATAACCTTTTCAGATTGGATCATCTAACCTTGCACCCAGCCTACCATTGGGAATTTGAAGAGTGTGGCATGTGTTTTACTTCAGTTGATGTAACCTCTATCTTAATCTGTGACTTACATTTTATAAAATGGTTTCAAAGCAATATTTTTTAAAGCTGTGTCTCACAAGCAAGAAAGGGGCGACTATGTACTTGAAATAGCTAATACAGAAGAAGAGTGAAATAATAAGGAAGTTACTTGTTTTGAGTTCGCCTTGGAAAGATCCAAAACGTTTTAAACTATTTGCCTTGATGGACATCTATGGTTAAAAATATACATTGCTGTAACCTAGATTTAGTACAAAACCCTTCAGATTCCCTACATCAACCCACACACCAAGTCTGACAATCGTACAGGAAAATATCCAACATGGGTTGTTTGTTTTTCTGTACAGAAGGTATCTGACTACTAGTTAACAATTACATGGGTTCTGTGTATGTCTGTACAGAAGGTATCTGACTACCAGTAAACATGGGTTGTTTGTCTGTACAGAAGGTATCTGACTACCAGTAAACAGGGGTTGTGTGTCTGTACAGAAGGTATCTGACTACCAGTAAACATGGGTTGTTTTTCTGTACAGAAGGTATCTGACTACCAGTAAACATACAGGCCCTTTGCGCTGGTTTAGCCGCTGGTTGTGGTGTCCTGTTAGGAGAAGGTGTTCTCTGTTTCTGTGGTGAGGAACCTTGACCTGCTGCACCGCTAGTGGGCTGAAGTCTTTGATTCGATGCCATAGCAGCTGCAGCCACAGGGGGAGGGGCTGGTGAACTTTGGCGTCCCGTATTCCCAGCAGGTATTGGTGCATATCCTACAACATTAAACCAAACTTTTATAAGATAAACCATGTACACACTGAAAGACTTTTTCTCAGATATTTCAAAATTATCAATGAATTATTTTAGACTTGAAGAATTCCTCACAAATAAAAATGATAGTGGTCAGTGATCTCCTAGAGACGTTGGGGTAGCAATATGAAGGTCAGTGATCTCCTCGTGATTTTGTAGGTAACATAACAGAGTGATCCCCTTTAGATGTTAGGGTTACGATATGGAGGTCAATGATACCCTAGGTATTTGAGAAGTAAATGACATTACCTGGAGGTGTAGGTAGTTCATCATAGTTCACTGGTTTGCCTGCTTTCGTCGCCTTGATTGCATCTTGATATTGCTGAGCATAAAGCATGGACATTTATTACGTATTAATCTACCAAAATCTCAGGTAATTTTGCAAATATTTTCTCAGGTAGATTGTGGAACAGATTGTTTCAAATAGCCTCCATTAAATTAAAAAGAATATAAGCAAGTAATACATTTTTCAGTTTTCTAAACATACTGCTTCACCTTATTCATCATATAAACTAATATCCACTAAGTATCATTTATCATCAGGTATTTACATAATCACATAAGCAGAAAAAAAGTTAAAGCCATCAATATCTCTGCTAGTCAAAAGTTTTGATAGGGGCTAATATGGGATCCAGGAAATATGGCATTAATGACGTAGGTTTAAGGATCCTCGTACCGATGCCAAAAAGTTTGGAGACTCCTTATTTCAACATTACATTGGCTTTGATAGATGGACATAATTTTATTGAGGAAACTATTGGGCACCTACAACTCTTTATGGGGCCCTAATTATTATTTAGAATTTAAAATCCCTGCACTAGCAAACATTATTTGATCAATAATTGCTACTGGATACAACTCTTTCATATACTGTGATGGTTGATTTTTTGCTATAGTCATGATCAAAATGGAATAAAAGAATTTTCAACTGATATGGATCACTAAAATATATAAAAACCATGATAATAAAATCAATGACAGTAGGTCATTCTGTATAACATATGACACAATGTTATTTTACATTAAGATGTTGAGATACAATATGGTGTACCTTAACTATATGTCCGTGCCTCCTAGCTTTAGAGCTGAACTACAATATGGTGTACCTTAACTATACGTCCTTTCCTCCTAGCTTTAGAGCTGAACTACCATATGGTGTACCTTAACTATACGTCCTTGCCTCCTAGCTTTAGAGCTGGACTACAATATGGTGTACCTTAACTATATGTCCTTGCCTCCTAGCTTTAGAGCTGAACTACCATATGGTGTACCTTAACTATACGTCCTCGCCTCCTAGCTTTAGAGCTGGACTACAATATGGTGTACCTTAACTATACGTCCTTTCCTCCTAGCTTTAGAGCTGAACTCCCATATGGTGTACCTTAACTATACGTCTGTACCTCCTAGCTTTAGAGCTGAACTACAATATGGTGTACCTTAACTATACGTCCTCGCCTCCTAGCTTTAGAGCTGGACTACAATATGGTGTACCTTAACTATACGTCCTTTCCTCCTAGCTTTAGAGCTGAACTCCCATATGGTGTACCTTAACTATACGTCTGTACCTCCTAGCTTTAGAGCTGAACTACAATATGGTGTACCTTAACTATATGTCCGTGCCTCCTCGCTTTAGAGCTGAACTACAATATAGTGTACCTTAACTATACGTCCGTGCCTCCTAGCTTTAGAGCTGAACTACAATATGGTGTACCTTAACTATACGTCCTTTCCTCCTAGCTTTAGAGCTGAACTACAATATGGTGTACCTTTACTATACGTCTGTGCGTCCTAGCTTTAGAGCTGAACTACAATATGGTGTACCTTTACTATACGTCTGTGCCTCCTAGCTTTAGAGCTGAACTACAATATGGTGTACCTTAACTATACGTCCTTTCCTCCTAGCTTTAGAGCTGAACTACAATATGGTGTACCTTTACTATACATCCTTGCCTCCTAGCTTTAGAGCTGAACTACAATATGGTGTACCTTAACTATACGTCCTTTCCTCCTAGCTTTAGAGCTGAACTACAATATGGTGTACCTTTACTATACGTCTGTGCGTCCTAGCTTTAGAGCTGAACTACAATATGGTGTACCTTTACTATACGTCTGTGCGTCCTAGCTTTAGAGCTGAACTACAATATGGTGTACCTTAACTATACGTCCTTTCCTCCTAGCTTTAGAGCTGAACTACAATATGGTGTACCTTTACTATACGTCTGTGCGTCCTAGCTTTAGAGCTGAACTACAATATGGTGTACCTTAAATATCCGTCCGTGCCTCCTAGCTTTAGAGCTGAACTGCAATATGGTGGTCCTTAACTATACGTCTGTGCCTCCTAGCTTTAGAGCTGAACTACAATATGGTGTACCTTTACTATACGTCTGTGCGTCCTAGCTTTAGAGCTGAACTACAATATGGTGTACCTTTACTATACGTCTGTGCGTCCTAGCTTTAGAGCTGAACTACAATATGGTGTACCTTAACTATACGTCCTTTCCTCCTAGCTTTAGAGCTGAACTACAATATGGTGTACCTTAACTATACGTCCGTACCTCCTAGCTTTAGAGCTGAACTACAATATGGTGTACCTTTACTATACGTCTGTGCGTCCTAGCTTTAGAGCTGAACTACAATATGGTGTACCTTTACTATACGTCTGTGCGTCCTAGCTTTAGAGCTGAACTACAATATGGTGTACCTTAACTATCCGTCTGTGCCTCCTAGCTTTAGAGCTGAACTACAATATGGTGTACCTTTACTATACGTCTGTACCTCCTAGCTTTAGAGCTGAACTACAATATGGTGTACCTTTACTATACGTCTGTGCGTCCTAGCTTTAGAGCTGAACTACAATATGGTGTACCTTTACTATACGTCTGTGCGTCCTAGCTTTAGAGCTGAACTACAATATGGTGTACCTTTACTATACATCCTTGCCTCCTAGCTTTAGAGCTGAACTACAATATGGTGTACCTTTACTATACGTCTGTGCGTCCTAGCTTTAGAGCTGAACTACAATATGGTGTACCTTTACTATACGTCTGTGCGTCCTAGCTTTAGAGCTGAACTACAATATGGTGTACCTTAACTATACGTCCTTGCCTCCTAGCTTTAGAGCTGAACTACAATATGGTGTACCTTTACTATACGTCTGTGCGTCCTAGCTTTAGAGCTGAACTACAATATGGTGTACCTTAACTATACGTCCTTTCCTCCTAGCTTTAGAGCTGAACTACAATATGGTGTACCTTAACTATACGTCCGTACCTCCTAGCTTTAGAGCTGAACTACAATATGGTGTACCTTTACTATACGTCTGTGCGTCCTAGCTTTAGAGCTGAACTACAATATGGTGTACCTTTACTATACGTCTGTGCGTCCTAGCTTTAGAGCTGAACTACAATATGGTGTACCTTTACTATACGTCTGTGCGTCCTAGCTTTAGAGCTGAACTACAATATGGTGTACCTTAACTATACGTCCTTTCCTCCTAGCTTTAGAGCTGAACTACAATATGGTGTACCTTTACTATACGTCCGTGCCTCCTAGCTTTAGAGCTAAACTACAATATGGTGTACCTTAACTATACGTCTGTGCCTCCTAGCTTTAGAGCTGAACTACAATATGGTGGTCCTTAACTTTATGTCCGTGCCTCCTAGCTTTAGAGCTGACCTCCAATTCGGTGGCCCTTACCTATACGTCCGTGCCTCCAAGCTTTAGAGCTGAACTAGAATATGGTGTACCTTAAATATACGTCCGTGCCTCCAAGCTTTAGAGCTGAACTACAATATGGCGAACCTTAACTATACGTCTGTACCTCCTAGCTTTAGGGCTGAACTACAATATGGTGGTCCTTAACTATACGTCTGTACCTCCTAGCTTTAGGGCTGAACTACAATATGGTGTACCTTAACTATACGTCCGTGCCTCCTAGCTTTAGAGCTGTCCCCGGCTTCCTTGGCTGTTGCCTCAGCCGACTTGTACTTTTCCAGTCTCTGTTGTAAGGCATCCATCACAGAAGAAGGAGCTTCTGGAGCCTTAAATAAACTCTTGGCTTCTACAACAGAAAAGTTAACACATCTACAACACACAGCACAGTCATCTGGGGTTACTAGAATACCAACACCTCTACTACACACAGCACAGTTATCTGGGGTTACTAGAGTACCGACACCTCTACTACACACAGCACAGTCATCAGGGGTTACTAGAATACTGACACCTCTACTACACACAACACAGTCATCAGGGGTTACTAGAGTACCGACACCTCTACTACACACAACACAGTTATCAGGGGTTACTAAAGTACCGACACCTCTACTACACACAGCACAGTCATCAGGGGTTAC